AGAAGAAAGCCTACAGAGTGAGGAGCTGAAGAAAATCAAGGAAGACTTGAGGAAGGATAGTAGTAGCCATTCGGGGTACTATTTGGAGGGGGAGAAGTTGATACATTATGGGAGGTTCGTGATGCCACGAACATCAGCACACATTCCCCACTTACTACAGGAATTTCACAGCAGTGTTGTTGGGGCACATTCAGGGATATAGAAGACATATAAAAGGCTGGCAGAGGAGCTTTACTGGAAGGGGATGTATAAGGATATTGAAGAGATGGTGGCAAGGCGTGAGGTGTGTCAGAGAAATAAATATATGACGATGGCACCAGGAGGGCTACTTCAACTATTAGCATTTCCTAACAAAGTGTGGGAGGAAGTATCTATGGACTTCATTGACGGCCTCCCCCGCTCAGAGGGATTCACAATCATTTTTATAGTGGTGGACCGACTTAGCAAGTATGCTCATTTTGTTCTCTTACGACATCCTTACACCGTAGTATCAGTAGCGTCAGCATTTATCATGGAAGTGGTGAGATTACATGGGGTTCCTAAGTCAATTGTGTCTGACAGAGACAGTATTCCTTATCTAGTTTTGGAAGGAGCTTTTCAAAATGCAGGGCACGATTCTCAAGAGAAGTACTGCCTACCATCCATGGACAGACGGACATACGGAGGTGGTAAACCGGAGCTTGGAAACATATTTGAGGTGTTTTGCCTCTGAAACACCGCGGATGTGGGTGAAGTGGTTACGTTGGGCCAAGTATTGGTACAAATCTCATACTATTCTGCTTCTCAAATGACGCATTTCAAGGTGATGTATGGCAGAGACCCCCCACACCTAGTGCACTAAGGGAAGGGAAGCACACCCGTTTCGTTAGTGGAGCAGTACTTGGAGGAAAGGGACAATGTGCTAGAAGAATTGAAGAAACATCTACAGATAGCACAACAAATTATGAAGAGACAGGCGGATTCACACAGGAGGGACATGCAGTTTGAAGTGGGGGAGAAGGTGTTCTTGAAGCTAAGCCCCTACAGACAGAAATCAGTGGCTAACAAGCGGAACGACAAACTGGCTCCGAGGTATTTTGATCCCTAAAAGATCTTGGGGAAGATTGGCGCTGTGGCGTCTGAAGTTACCCGCCTCCGCTACCACACACCCATTGTTCCATGTGTCACAGCTGAGGAGAACTCTGGGAGAGCATGCATTTAGTTCAGAGTTACCAGCATCAATGACGAAGGAGTTAGAAGTGACTTTAGAACCCCTGGAGCTTATAGGGGTAAGATCTGATAAAGAGGGCAATAAGGAAGTGTTGATTCGATGTAAGGATCTACCTGATTTCGACGCTACTTGGGAACCATTTGAAAGAGTGAAAGAGCAATTTCCCTCTTTTCACCTTGAGGACAAGGTGAGTTTTTGAGAGGGGAGTAATGTTATGCCGGCCCAGGAGGGGCCGGCTGGATCGGTCCGGTTCTACACCCGGCGGCCCAAGCCCCAGGCGGAACAAAGCAGAGGGGGGGCGGGATGCATAGTGGGCCCAAGCATGAGTAAAAATTAATATGGGAGAAAAATTTTGAATGGGGAGGGCTGTTTTGGTAATTTGTATTCCTCCTTTATGGTTAATTAGGTGCTTAGGAGGGAATTATGGATTATCTTGAATTTGAATTGTAATTTGAGATCTAGGGTTCTTTTGCTTTGGGCTCTTGGCATTGCTAGAGATTGGAGAGTTGTTCTTCCTCTCGGATTGAAGAACAATTGTATCTTTGCTATTTTACGCATTGTCTAGTGGAATACAAGTCTTGCTTTGAGTTTTCCTTCAGTTTTCCTCTGAATTTCTGCTGTTTTGCTGCTGTAAACAGCAGTTTGCTGTTGTTTTCCTGCTGTGGACAGCAGTCCAGTCGTTGTTTGTTCACCAATTTGGATTAGGTTTGCTTGCGAACTCAAGTATTACCTTAGGGTTACTTGCGAACTCAAGTATTTTCTATCACCTTCTCATCACAACAAAAAGGTATGTACAAGTGATGCAAGAGACACCATAACCAATTTTCTCCCCCATTGCTTCAAAGGCACACATGGATGGTTTGTAAAACACCTGCAAACAGTCTTTATGTCAACCACATCAAGAAAGATAAGTATGGATGTTTTGGCATAGTACCTACACAAAAAGATAATATAATATTATATAGTTTCTCTTAAGGGTGTAAGTGAGCCGAGCCGGCTCGAGCTTGACTCATTTATGGGCTCGCGAGTCGAGCATATCGAGTTCGAGCTCAAACTCGATCTCTTTTCGTAAATGAGCTCGAGTTCGAGCTTGATGAAGCTCGGCTCGTGAGCTCGCGAGCCAGCTCGAATGATTATTAATAGTTTTTAAAATAATTTTATTATATTTATTAAATTTAAATATTTTATAAAAATTAATAATAAATGTTGTTAGGGAAGAATGAGGCGTTTGGCGATTCAGTTGAGTTCGAAGCGGAATGAGGCGGGCAAAACTAGGCGGGCGACCCGAGTTCGAAAGGAACAAGGCGGCCATAACGAGGCGGGAGGTGGGGGCAGGCGGAACGAAGTCGAAAGCGGGCGGAAGGTGATTGAGTGGTCCGTTGTTTGCGGGAAGAATGAAACGAAATGAAGCAGTTCGCTGTTCGTGGCAGGATCAACAAGGCTCGCCAGCCGGCTCGAGCTAATTTACAATGGGACGAGTTCGAGCTTGCTTTCCAACTGACGAGCCAAGCTCAATAATACCATTACTCGACTCGACTTATTTAGACCCCTAATTTCTCTATTATGTCAAGAAAGACACGTACAAGGGCATAGAAAAAAAAGTGAAGTTGTTATGTACACCTACGATGGCTTGATGGATAAAGTTAGAGAGATTGAGAAATTGGTGGAGAGCGCGCGCAAGAGAGAGAGAGAGAGAGAGAGAGAGAGAGAGAGAGAGAGAGAGAGAGAGAGAGAGAGAGAGAGAGGAATAAAAATAAGAGGTTTGGCCTCTTGAAGGAGAGGTTTTTTCATGCCTTTATGCTTGGAAGGAGCAGCACAGAGGTATAAGAGTGAGGAAAAAGAACCCTAAAGCTAGGCTTCAAGCAAGCAGCTTTATAAGAAAGATTTATTTTTAAAATTATGTAATTGTATGTATGTGCAAACAGATTTTTACTAAACAAAACTTATATAAAAATTTAAAAAAAATGAATTTAATTTAATTTAATTTAATTTAAACTTTATCTTGGGTCTCAATGCACATAATTTGTGTTTTCAACGATTATAGACTTCAGAGTTTTGTATCAATTATGCCCAATTTGAAAAATATAATTTCTATGAATTATTTGATTGATTTTAATATATTAGATTTGGGCATAATTTGTGTACTTCTCATAGAAAAATTCATTACTCATCGTATGCAAGAATTTCCCACCAATGCATATGATGCATTTAATATCAACCATCAACAATCCATACAATTTGATTATTTATTATAGTTTATGATACAAAAATAACATTTAGGAAAGCACTCACAAGTAAAAGGATGTATAAGATCTATTTTCCCATTGACCCAAATAAAGATCCATTTTCCCCCCAAATAAGATCATTTTTCATATCTTCAAGTAAGTCCAAAGTGACTACTCCAAAATAATCAACCATTTTAAGCAATCCTACGAGTGTGGTGATGGTGAAGGCAATAGAATAGTGATGGTATGGAGTGTTAATTTCAGTGACAGAACATGAGGAACAGAGAGACAAGGCATGATTTTCGTGCAATGGATGAGTGTTATGCACAATGAGAAACCACAATGGTCAACACTGAATGAGCCGTGTCAACCACAAATCAAGTTGTGGGCAAAAACTGTGCTGCACGCAATATATGAGCGATGGATTAAAATGAGAATATTATAGAACAAGAGGAGTACAATCAGAGAACACGCTCAAGAACAGATGGGGTTTTGGCACAACATATATGCATAGGGGGGTTCAATTTTTAATTTCACTGTACCGATAGCTAAGCAGTCACAACATTCATACAACTTCTGTTGTGTATGATAGCTTACAAAATTATCGTCATGCTTAAAATAAATTTGCAATATAAGAATCCTTTTCCAATCAAATCCGCATATATATAGCAATAACAAATCTTAAAGAAAATTCAAATAAAAAATCTTCAAAATCACTAAATTTTGTATCAAATTATTGAAAATCGTGCCCCTCATTAATTTCCTTATCCTTCTCTTCTTCTACATCAACATGTAAATTTTTACATGGGCATTCTAATACAATAAAACGTAGTAATTAAGTCAGCGTAGCTCTCTCAAAAGCCCAATTGGCCATAGGCAATTACAAGGAGTTAAAGCCAGCCACAATAAACTTAAAACAGGCATGTTTTGTTGCATTTTAGGCCCATTTTTAATTTCGGCCAAAATTTCATATATTTTTATTTAATTTACTTTATCATGTTGCTTGATTTTCTTTGGATAATATTAAATTTGATTTCGAATGTTTGGTAGAATAGAATTTGATTTTTAGACAAAATTTTATATATGAATTTTGAAGTTATATTATATGGTCTTATCATTCTAACCTCATTTGTACGAATAGATATTGACCGCCTATAATTGAACATGCTATTCTTTATTATTTTTTAACCTAAAGAGTATTGCTTTAAGATTTTTTCACTATTTCAGGATGCATCAAAAACTCTTCAAATTTATTCATATTTAATAACATTTTTGTTCCTCATTTTATAAGCATTAAATACATCAAGCAAACAATTATGACATTAATATAGGAGTAATTTTTCTTCAATTCAATCTTTTATTTAAGCACGTCTTTGTAGGATCTCTTTGAGACTTTCTCTTTGTTTTTTCACATTTAATTAATCTAACTTACCTTGCCCAATTAATTTTAATTACTTGACATTCAACAAACATAATTTGTTATTCAATGAAATTATCCACATCCGTTATCTCATAACAAAAAACTTAGGATAAATTCTCCCATAAGATAGCTTCGATTGTCTTACCTCTATACTTTCACACGTTGTAAGCTTTGCCCATATTCTTTCCCTGCCAATAGCCAGCTGCAGTTGTTTCTGAAGAAGATTAATCCAAAATGAGATTTCTTCAACAGTACGCCCACCTTTAATTTTAAGACTAGCAGCTCGAGGAGCAAAATGTGATAGGAATTCTCTGCGTAGACCAATATCTTTCATAGAATCATAAGCCTTCTGTATTGGGAGAAAATCAAGAAGCGTGTCCATCAATCTACCAGTGGCATCAGGAAGCATAGACACGAATTGAGAACAAGAAATTTTCGCTGATCCTAGCATTGTAACAGCAGCAAGGCAGCTCAAAGCAAGCATAAGTAGTGAGAGGTCATTTGTAGCGCCTGATCTGGATGTCTTTCCTGTCGAGCATCTGGAGTGGGGGTTGGTGGTTAAAATTTAGCAAATCTTCTATTAAACAAACCTCAACATAAAAAGCATAAGAACATACAGTGTGGTTGCTGCTGTAAAGCAAGGATCCTTTTCAAAGATGTTCACAAAAGTAGTCACAACCATCGGATGTTGATGTGACCAAAACCATTCAGAAGTTGAAGGCTGCTTGGCAGACAATTCCTCATGAATTACACTCTCCAATGGAGCACACAGCCGGATCAAGCTGAAAGTTAAAATGTTCTGTCAAATTGATTAATATGATACTTTTTTTGTTTAGATTCAATTCAAGGATGATGTTCGACCAACTTTTATAAATGTGAGCAAAGTCGCCAGAGAACTTGGATTTTGCGGGAATTTTTATATACGCTATAAAAAATTGGAGCCCAGTGTAATGAAGACTGTCATAACCATGGGAAAAGTTCAAACATAATTTCTAAATATTTAAGTCAGACATACGAAAAAGTCATCTCCTTTACAGAAAAAGCACAAGATTCAGAACAACGGAATAATGACATCCCCGTGAAGAATTCTTCCAAGGAAAATTTAAAAAAGAAAAACATGGGCTCAACATTAGATAATACTCGGTTTACACTGCTCCAGCACTTAATACTCTCTACTATTGCCCCCTGTTGAAGACAACTTAATGATTTATATACAGGTTTTCTCACATGCTTATTTGCATTGAAGTAACACAATAACCATAAATTACTACCATCTTAAGATAATACCCTCGTTAATTTCCTAAAATAGGAAAGAAATATTTTCATTCCTTCTAAAGACCTATGGGCTGGCGGAAATTGCATAAAAGAAAACTGGCGGAGTACCAAGAGGCATAAATCTTGGGTTCCTGCAGCTGGAGAATAGCAAAGGATGGCAAATCCGCTGCAGCAGCAATGGTGGCTCCCTAGGTGGCTGGCTTGGCCCATGGATCGCTGGGGCAGCTTTCACCGCCCATGGATTAACAAAATAAGGCCAGTAGGTTGAGCAGATTTAACATACAGCTTTTGTATTTCTTTTGAGGGATCATATTCCAATGTTAGAAGTTTTTTACGTGCTATTACCATCATATTGTTTATTTTCTTTTCTCATTAGGCTATGGTTTATTTCGTCCTGCTTTTTACCCATTGCAAATCTGTGTATATAGAGCCAAGTTTGGGCAAAATAAGAAGTTTAGAGTATTCCTCTTTCTTCTCTCTCAGTTCTCTTTTGTTTCCTTTTTTCCATAGTGTGAAAGCAAGTATCTTTTTAAGCTATGGCCAACAATTACAATAGGTCCCTAATTCGTTATATAGCAAAAAAAGAGAAAAAATAAGTTCTCCCTCCACCTTACCAAGCCACATCATCATTCTGAAAGTCTTCATAGAGCATCTCTTTAAAATTATTTTCTAAAAACAAAATAGAAAGAAATTCTTAAAAATGATCTTGCTTGATCCAAATGGTGATTCGAGGAAGATAAAAGAATGGATTAGCTAAATAGTAGAGCTGTCAATACTGGACCCGACCAGAAAACCCGACCTGAAAATTTCGGGTTTGGGTTGACCCGAACCCGAAGCGGGTCAGTTTTGGGTCCGAAAAACCGACCAGTTTGCAAAATCGGGTCAGGTTCGGGTTGACCCGAAAACTCGGGAATGACCCGAAAAATCCATCTGCCCCTGCTGCCCGCTGCCCCGCGTTGCCTGCCTTACTGCCCCGGCTGCCCACGTGACCGCGTCCGCGCGTCGAATCGCATCGGAAGAAGGTTCGACCGTTAGAGACATCGAGCTGCGCGTCACCTGCGAGGACAATGGCCAGCTAACACAACATCATGCAAAATGGTTCCAAGCGCATCAACTATGATCGTAATCACTTGAATATCGCACATTCATGATATTATGTCGACATAGTTGGAACGTGAAAATTACCAAATAGGCACCTCCCATACTCAAATCGACCAAACATGAAGGAAACAGAGAACAATGAATATGGTGTCACGCAACTTAGGTTCGAAATGCCTTGGCCACAATCGATGTCCTCAAACATCGTCCGTTTTCAAAATGGATAGCACCAACGGTTCCAGAACATCGAAATTAACTAAAAAGTACGCTCATGTTGCTTGAGTTTCCCAACAAAAGGAAAACGAAAAATTTATCAACGCATGAGGCAACAACACAAAATCTGAGAAGTGTGCGAGAAATAAAAAATTTAGCCAAAATATCCATACATATTTCAATTTCAATATTTTAATTTCTTCATTGAGCATGTTTATTTCTTGTTGTAATTCAGAAATAGAGGAATGAAAAGATGTATATCCAGATTTTTTTGTCATTGGTTAGTATACTTCTTTTGTGGCGTGTATATAGAATAATCATTATTTAATGGTGTCATTTTTTATTTCTTTTTTTTTATATTTTATCTTTGGTCTAAAATTCAAATATTTGATCAAGAAATTTTATGAGTTATTCCTTTTGATATATATATATATATATATATATATATATATGTATATATGATAAAAAAATCTCACCAAATCTCATATCATTTGAATTACTTGTCGCATACTACAGCGTTGAACTCGTCCACTCAGTCTCTCAATTGCATCCTCATTATGCCCATCCCATATATAAATAAAATTTGAAATCCTAGACTAAACTTTGCCCCACTATCTCCCACAATCAATCCTCATTCCCCCTCTGGTTCTCATTGCCTTGCATGAGTCGAGCTTACAGCTCATTGCACGCCTCCACTTTGCCTCCCTTATCTTCGCACAAGCTCGTGAGCCCCCTCGCCTTCTCTATGAAAGTTATTGGTCTCACCTCCCAAACGCCAAACCTCTCCGCTCATCCTCTCTTCTCTCTAATATGGCATCCCAACCTATTCCGACCAACCAGTCACCTTCTCCTCCTTCCTAGCCATAGAAGCTGCCTACATCTCCCCTTCCCCCTTGCTATACGATCCAATCCTCACGAAACTACAGCCACCATGATCAGCATAACCCCCTCAATCCCTTCTCTCTTTGAACAGAGAGAAAAATCTCTCTCTCTCTCTCTCTAGCTTCTCCCCCTCTATTTTCCACTATAACTTTCTATCTCTAAATAGAGAAAGAAAATCTTTCTTTCTTTTTCTCTCTTTTATTATCACTCTCTCATTATCTTTATCTCTCTAAGCAAAGAGATAACTCACTCACTCCAACACTCTGTATCTCTCTTCCAGTCCCCTTTGTCACTTTCTCACTCTCATTTCATTTTCCAAAAAAAAAAAATGAAATGAAATTTTTTATGTATTTGATCTCGTCGCAAGTTCTCGTATCTATCTTGTGATGCGACGGGTGAGCCCTATGAGCGCTTCCGTTAACACGATGAGAAAAAATATATTGTTTTGAAAATTTCTCATAAATGTATCTCATGCACGTCTTTCTTTAAACTATGAGGTTTTTAAAATTCCGACCAAAATGTCTTCGGACCAACCATGCATGTTTTTCTTGGCTTATTGGGCAAGCCTAGACTCCCCATAGATACCCCTCCTATGTAGGGAGATACCAAGAGGCTACAGGACTTTAGATTGAAAGAACTTGAAATAACAACACACATAGGACTTCTGAACATGAATGCATTTAAATTAAAATAAAAAAAAAATATAAAAGAGGGCGGCAAAATGAAATTTCAAAATGAGAAAAAAAATGCCATTAATAATAAATTGAGCAAGCCTTACAAGGGACTTATAATGAATGTTGCATCGTACCTACATGCATAACTAGAACCTCACTCCTAGGAACAATTATTACGTCCTCTGATCGGACGTAGAGCTACGTTCGGCCGCCAATAACATGTCGCCACGTGCTCTTACTCTAAACCGCGCGGCCCGACGACTTGACCCGGAGCGGTACCCGGGAATGCTATGTTCGCGATTTTCTCGGTATTGCTCGGTATTTGCTAGGTATTGCTTTGCAAAAATGAGAAATACCGCTCTGTGAAGACCAATACCATGCAAATACCGAGTAGTACCGAGTTTTTACAACTCGGTACAACTCAGTATTTGCTATGTATTGCTAGGGATTTGCTCGGTATTGCTAGGTATTTGCTCGGTATTGCTAGAAAAAACTCAGTACAACTCGGTACAACTCAGTATTTGCTCGGTATTGCTAGGTATTTGCTCGGTATTGCTAGGGATTTGCTCGGTATTGCTAGAAAAAACTAGGTACAACTTGGTATTTGCTCAGTATTGCTAGGTATTTGAAATATATCCAAAAGGTGATGGGATGTTGTTCGGCTCGTCAAGGATTTAAAAAAACGCACGCGCGAGAACCCAAAAAACAGCGGGTCGGGTCGGCGATTTTTCTTCATGCTACGTGGCGCTAAAATATTGGTGGCCGAACGTAGATGAGCGTACGTTCACCGGACCGAATAAAAGTTCCACTCCTAGGGCCATCAAGAACAGCTCAAAACTTTCAAAAATCCACAAAATGAGCTTGAATGGCCAAAATAAATAAGGAAATCCCCCTATATATAACAAGAAATTTGATTAAGTGTAAGACCTACTACATTAAAGTCCAACCACGCAAAACTAAAAAATTGACAATATGAAAAGATTCTAATTCATCACAAATGCCACTGAATACACAACACATACAAGCAAGTGGATGGAGGGCATTTTTTAAAACTTCAATATGAAATTTTGCATGCATTTCAACGACAAATATTTACAAAAGTAATTAAAATTCGAGTATTTTCAAATCATACACACATCATAACATAACTTTCAAATTCAAGTGTAACCACCTCAAGAAGCTTGCCACTACATCAAGAATCATGTAACTGCCTCGAGAAGCATGACATAATCTTAAGAAGTATGCAGTTGACTCAAGAAGTATATAATCACTCTGAGAAGCGTGCCAATGTGGTAAAATCATGCAAATACATCATGTAAATGTGATCAAAAGATGTGCTAACGCACAAAAAAGGTGCACTGAAAAACAAGCAAGTGCGCTAGGCAAATATGTCAAAAATGTATAAAATGTGAAAATGCACAACATACACTGTACAAATGCACCATCTATATGTATCAAAAAGCACGCAAATGTATCGTGAAATATTCAAGTGTGCCTTACAAATGCATCAAAAAGAGAGCACGATTTATCAAATCACCAAAAAAATTTCAACCTCGTGTGCTCTGATAAGTATTTTAAAAAGCTAAACACAATGTGTAAAGTACAACACAGACCAAAATTAAGCAGGAGGCAAGTTCAACCCACTCCAAGAATCATGTAACCTTTTTTGAAAAATGATCAACTATTTTAAAAAATTCACAAACTCTCTTTCAAGGGCAAATTCAAGCTCTCATTTTATGCAATGTTCTTGAACAGGTCGCCTTGCCTATAAGATAAGATTGTAAGTCTCATTTTTTTTAAGTTTGATACTTCATCTCCCTAAGAATGGAATAGACAAAACTCCCACCTCTCAAAAAATTACTGCAATACTAATTGAAATAAAATTTTCTAATCGAGCAAATTTGCAATTAAACATTTGAGCGTGATGCTCACAATGATATTTTGTCCTACAAATGCAACTTCAAATATTGATCACTAAGCCGACCCTCTGCAAGCAAGCTAACAAAGTTGAAAAAATCAAAAAAGCAATAAAATTAAATTATTCAATCACACCAATTATGGCAGCACTAATAGAAAATATCAATCAGATGGAGTTATTTCTTTCAAAATGCCCCAATCTCAATACAAATCACTTTGAGAACACATCTAGATAAAAATCTAAAAATTTCAAAAAATAATAATAAAATCTAAAAATCCATAAGTGAATTTTATACCCTAAAACTTATGGAAAAATGTATTCACCCTCTACAACTGCATGTCGAGGTTGATAAAATTAAGAATGATCTTAACTTGCAAAGAGCCACTATCTTGACAAGCATACTATTATGCTCATAAACTATCTCTCGCCAATAAAGATATGGCATATAACATCTAACCGATATATTGCCAACAAATGATACCGTAGATAAATGTTTAAGACTGAGGCATTCTGAACAAATTGTTTCATCACAAAATAACAACATTATACTAGTGTCACATCCGGAGCATGTAAATTCCACGATAGCTTATAAATTCTTAAGTTATAAATCATAGGGTACATATAATTGAGAATAAAGTCCCCTATTATCTAGGATCAACCTAAATTCATCTCCATAGACAAACTTTCACCTTATGTTTATACGATTCACTTGGATGACTCAAATCATCGTTGCTGACAAGAATCATTCGGTCATATATAATTGACAACCTGCTCTGACTAAATAGACCAAGGATCATAACAACTTAGGATGATGAAATCATGGGATCTTGCTCAGGTTCATAATCATTTTTCCCACCATCCGCTTGAAGTTTTCGATGACAAAATTCCTCATCCTAAGCCAATTTCCTTATATTCTATGCTAAGCACTAAGCATCTAACAAGTAACCTAAATTGAAAGCTCCCACTTATCATCGGAAGAGATAATATTTAACCATAAGAACTTGTGCCTATGAGAAAATTAGAACTAAATCATAAATTCCTTTCAAAATGAGCCTGAAATCTCTAGATAATATTTTATCTTCAACCAATTTTGTTTTCTAAAAAATTTACATGGAAAACATTAAACTCTCTCAACAAAGGTGGGGTGTGAATTTTTTAAGCCCACAACACAAGTAATTGAGAGAAAGTCAACATGGCATACTCTAATTTTGAAAATTCAGCTCACTTGTATTAATTATGAGACAATGCTCTTCGACTCGAGAAAGAAAACATGAATATTACAAAATAGTTCACCACAAACACAAAATATTTGGTAAGAATTGGATATCTTTTAGCCTAATGAATGGTGTGTAGATAGGCCTCAATAAAGATCTAGATGAAGTTTGTGGTAGAATCCTTAGGATTCATCCCCTTCCCAAAATTCAATAAACATTTGAAGAAGTTAAAAGGGAAGAAAGTAAGCGGAGATTACTACTTGGAGGAACCAAAAACAATCTCATAATTGAAGAAAATGGCCTTTGCCATAAAAAGCATGAAGTAAAACCCAAGACATGACTCAAGAAGTGGAAAGAGAAGTAATAGTAGGAATGAGCTTTGTAAAAAAAAATTTATTACACAAGAGAAAATTGTTAGAAACTTCATGGCAAGCCAGCAAATCGGATCAATCATAGAAATCATCATAAAGTTACACATTTTTTAAAGATGAGAAATGGCAAAAACATCGGCAACAAAAAGCAATTGGACCTTTTAAAAAATTTGCTCACTCTGGAAAAAAACTATAAAGTCCTCCCTTTTAAGCCAAAAAAAGAAAGTAATTTTTTTCTTGCTCTTAATTGTACTAAGGGAGACCAGGAATCTTGAATTATTACCTAGAGAGCTTCCAAATACATGATAGGTTATACTCGCCTATTCTCATCTCATACTTCCGATGACATGGAAGGTTTTCCTATACCACCAATACCTTCCTAGAGCTGTGATAGGAAACACTTGAATATTTCAAATAAATCCTATCAAGAGAGCAAAAATAGCGAGAAATCTCTACGATTCCAATGAAAAACCAATGAAAAACAGTAATTTTATTGCAAGAAAGTAAACTACGGAAGAAAATAACAAGATACAATTGAGAATATTACTAGAATTTCATAAACAAAATGCATTCTGCTATAGCTATCCAAACAAAGTACCAAAGAAATGGATTTCGATTACTTTAAATTTTGAATTTATCAGTATCTGTCCATTTGATAAGGTTTTCAAACACAGCAAATGTGATTCACAAAATACTTGTTCCCGCCATCCCATCATGCCCAACTTGAGTGTGTTTGCATTCAACATTCGTATCAGTATTCAACAACTAAACAACTGTTGAAATGGTATTTACGTACATTCCATGCATTTAGATATCACTAGATTAAAATTTATCCAGTAAGGAAAAATATGAAATCAGCATACGAGTTTTTACTGCTTTTTTTATATTTTAGAATTAAATGACTTAGGTTGTGTCAAATAAAAAGCCATAAAAATCTAGTTATAAAAGAAATGACAAGAATCAAAGGAAAATCTAAGGACCTTCTGTGGACAAAAAGATTGATATCTCTATCTCTTCCATCTCCTCGAGATGAAATTTCAATTGCCGCCTGCAATAGAGAGTGGACTGCAGCCTGGAAAATTTGAGAGATTAGAAAGTTGCTAATAAGGTGTATAAGTAATTCATATAGAATTTACAAGAGAAAAGTCCCATCAGTGTATGATTAAAAATTATAAATGCAGAAGGATGATAGAAAATTTATTTTTAGGTAAATTGCATAGAAACAGTTGAGTTTGTGATGTAAAACAAACATGCGAAGAGTTGCTTTGGGATTGTAACAATAAAGATTGAATTTGCGCATTGCTAATTAGTAACTCATGCTTCAATCAAGTTAAATTCTTAGAACTTTTCGTTTGAAGATTAGATAATGGTAAGCCGTTACAAGAGGTTAGTAATACAATTGCAATAATAACAAAAATTAAATAGTAGTACTAATAGCAAGTAATCAAGAATCCACAGTGTAACATCAAGACGTGATCACTTAGAGTTCATACTCACTCAATCACTCTTAGGCTTTAGTGGATGGTAGTTAAAAACAGGTTAAGGCTTAAGTAGTAGCAGAAAACATTAAAGAATATGACTTAAAAGGAAAGGAAAAAAATTTTATGAAATGAGAAAAAGTGCAATTAAGATTGTATACAAGAGGAAAGGAAGACAAAGTCTAGGATAACAAATTCCTAGCAATATGAGATACTCAAATAAGGTTATAAGAATTAGTAAATATTTTATTATTACACTTCATCTTTATTATGCTTATAACCACATGTATTTCAGCTTATTTTAGTTATTTTGTATGAACATGGACAAATATGTATGAAATTGTTTATGTAGAGAGTGATCTATATCGATGTTAATAATTTCGTCAACATAAAAGGATAATATTCATAAACTAATGAATGAGCAAAAGGACAGCAAAATGACATCTAAAGGACAGCTAAAACGCAACTAAAGCGCAGTTAAAGCTCAACTAAGGCACAATTAAAGCTCAACTAAGGCACAGTTAAAGCTCAACTAAGGCACAGTTAAAGCTCAACTAAAGCGCAGCTAAATGACAGCTAAATGGCAGCTAAAAGGTAGCAAAAGGGCAGCTAAAAGGCATCGAAAGGGCAGAAAAATGATAGCTAAAGGGCAATTAAAGCGCAACTATGTCATCAAAAGCATATGTCATCATGGCTAAAAAGGATAACTATATATGGGGGATAAGTTATATATGGGGGATAAGTTATATATGGGGGATAGGCCAGCACAAGTAAAGGTAAAAGATCTGACGAGGTAAACCTACACTCTCAATTCTAGAATTTGGAAAATTTGACTCAACTTTGAATAAGAGAATAGCTTCCATTCTAAAAGTTGAGAAGTTGGACCCAACCTTGAATTGGAAAATTGAAAAGGTACAAAAGCATATAAACATTATATGACTTGTTTAAAGGTGTTGAACAGTTTTGGCAAGATGAATAATACTGCTAAGCACTTTTAGGCTCAATCTGACATTTCAATGTGTGTTTTAACTATGTTAGTATTGTTAAGCATTTCTTAAATGTTTATTATTATTTCTTATAAATTGCTAGTGTATTTCATTGAGCTTAGCTCATTAGTAGTGGTTGTACTGCAAGAAAGGATGAGCCATTGGGACAATAAAAAGAGGTGACCGTTCTTTTGGTGTAAATACATTTTGGGTGTACAAAGATATCTAAAACAAGATTTGAATGCTAGATGTACAGACTTTTGGGTATGTGAGTGAATTTAAAAGTTTTAATAGAGCTATGCATTTACTTCAATTATATTTGATGTTCATTAAGAGACATTATATGCTTCCCATTATTAATAATGAAATTTGATATGTTGGAAAGTTATGAGAGTCTAAATAGATTTCTTTTACTCACTCAATTCTGAAAGTAGTGGCTCGGAATGAGTGTTAGTAAGAAGGATCCGGTTTAGATTTTTCTTCTCTGTTATACTACAGATTGACCGTTAAAGGATAGGCCAAACTGGCGTGTGACACCATCAAATCAGGATGAAGGGGGGAAGATATTCAGAAGACGGCCTTCAGGACGTACGAAGGGCACTACAAGTTATTGTTGATGTCATTTGGGCTCACAAACGCCCCTGCTACCTTCCAACCATTGATGAATAGGATGTTCAGGCCGTACGTCTAGAGGTTTGTCTTAATTTCTTTGATGACATACTTGTGTATAGCAGAACCGAAGAGGAGCACCTGGAGCATTTAAGGATGGTCTTTGGAGTTCTACAGGAGCATCAGATCAAAGCCAACCTGAAGAAATGCAGCCTCGCACAGACTAGTGTGTAGTACTTGGGACATGTATTATCTCAGGAGGGTGTGACAGCAGATCTAGCTAAAATATTAGTCATGCAGAGGTGGCCTCTACCTAAGAAATTGAAAGAGCTGAGGGGTTTCCTAGGATTGACGGGTTACTACCAGAGGTTTGTGAAGGGTACAACAACATAGCCTTGCCTTTGACAGAACAGTTAAAGACGGATAGCTTCTTGTAGGGAGAAGCGGCTACCCAGGCTTTTGAGAAACTTAAGAAGTCCATGACCACACAATACCCGCTTTGACTTTACCAGACTTCAATCAGACTTTTATGGTGGAGACAGATGCGTCTGGATATAGGTTGGGGGCAGTGTTGATGTAGAATTATAGACCCATAGTCTACTTCAGTCAGGTGTTATCAGCTAGAGCTAGACTGAAGTCTGTATATGAACAAGAATTGATCGTCAACGTGTTGGTTATTCAGAAGTGGCAACCATACCTGCTGGGAGCCTGGGATGACACTTCATCGTCAAGACAGATCAAATGAGCTTGAAATATATGTCGGAGCAAAGAATGGTGACAGAGGAACATCAGAGGTGGCTATCTAGATTATTGTGATACGATTTTGAGATCCAGTCCGACCAGGGTTGGAGAATAAGGCGGCTAATGCCTTATTTAGGTGTGGAGGAGAGCTCCAGGATATGACCATTTCAGTACCCTTAATGGTGGATTGGGGGGCTATCTAGGAAGAAAGCGTGCAGGATGAAGAGTTGAAGAAGATTCGGATGGATCTGCTGAAGGATAGGAGCAGCCACCCCAGGCTACACCCTCGAAGGGGAGAGGTTGTTGTACAATGGGAGGTTTGTGATGCCACAAACCTCCATCCATATTCCCCATCTATTGCAGGAGTTTCATGGGAGTGCAATTGGAGGTCACTCTGGAGTAGAAAATACATACATGAAACTTACTCTTGAATTATATTGGAAAGGAATGCGTAAGGATGTGCAGGAGATGGTGGAGAGGTGTGAAGTGTGTCAGAGAAACAAGTATATGGCTATGGCTCCAGGTGGGTTACTACAATCATTATCACTTCTAAAAAGAGTATGAGAGGAAGTATCCATGAATTTTATAGATGGCCTACCACGATCAGAGGGGTTTACAGTTATTATGGTGTTGGTTGATATGCTAAGTAAGTATGCATATTTCATTTCCTTACGATACCCCTACACCGCAGTGATAATGGCAACAGCGTTTATCAGGAGGAGATTAGACTACATGGGATTCCAGAGTCGATAGTGTATAATCAAAACAAAGTGTTCCTCGGCCAATTTTGGAGGAAGATGTTTAGGTTACAGGGCACTATTTTCAAGAGAAGCACCGCCTACCATCCTCAAACGGACGGGCAAACAAAGATAGTAAACAGGAGTTTGGAGACTTAAGGTGTTTTGTTTCTGAAATATCGATGTGGGAAAAAAGATTAGCATGGGCCGAGCATTGGTACAATACATCATACAATTCTACTTCCCAGATGACCCCTTTCAAAGTGAGTACTTGGGGGAAGGGGATAAGGTGTTAGAAGAGTTGAAGAAACATCTGTTGAAGGCACAACAAATCATGAAGAAACAAGCATATACACATAGGAGAGACATACAGGTTGAAGTGGGAGAGAAAGTGTTCTTAAAACTGTAAACTTACTGGCAAATGACAGTTGGAAATATGAGGATCGAGAAATTGGCCCTAAGGTACTTCGGCCCCTACGAGATTTTGCACAAGATCGAAGCAGTTGCATACCGTTTGAAGTTACCCCCATCCGCCGTCATACACCCAGTCTTCCATGTGTCCAAGTTGAGCAGAGCTCTAGAGGAGCATACAATTAGTGCGGGGTTACCAGCTACACTAACAGAGGAGTTGAAAGTGATCATAGAAACACTGGATCTGAGAGGGGTAAGATCATATAAAGATGGGAATAAAGAAGTGCTTATTAGATGGAGAGACCTGCCCGATTTCAATGCCACTTGGGAGCCCAATGAGAGGGTGAAAGATCAGTTCCCTTCATTTCACCTTGAGGACAATGTGAATCTTTGGGAGGGGGTAATGTTAGGCCGGCTCTAGGGCCAGTTGAACCGGTCCAACCTGGACCGATTCTTTGCTACAGGAGGAGGGGATGGAACCAAGGGGAAGAAAGAGAGAGAGAGAGAGAGAGAGAGAGAGGCTGGTTAGAGAGATGGGGCCCACAACTTAATTAAACGTGCTTTGGGAGGGAAATTTTGAATTAGGGATTGTTTAGGGAATTTGTCATTGTCCTCTTTGTTTTAATTAGTTTCCTTGGGAAGATTAGGGTTTCATCTTGAATTGGAAGAAAGATTTGAGATCTAGAGTTTGTTCTTTTGGGCTCTAGGCATTGCTAGAGATTTGGAGAATTTTTTCTTCCTCTCGAATTGAAGAAACTTGTATCTAGTGTTGTTTTCTTGTTCGTGGATTGAATAGAAGAAGTTTACTTGTGTTTTCTCTCCAATTTTCTGAAATTTCTGCATCGTAATTGTTGATTTCTCTCTGAAATCAGCAGATTTCTCGCTGTTTTCACCAATTATTGTTAGGTTTGCTTGCGAACTCAAGTATTTCCCCTTAGGGTTACTTGCGACTCAAGTATTTCCTATCAAATTCATGCTCAATCATTGACCTTGTATTGAATGTGAGACAGTTAGGGATCATAGATTGTTGATGAAGTATCTAAGCGGATGAAAAAAAATTCGGGTGATTTAGTAGTTCCTGGGTAAAAGTGTAAAACCGTATATTCCAATCGGAATGATTACTGTAATTTGAAAAATTATTCAGCTAGAGCTTTTTAACGCAAAATCACTTAGGAAACACGTGTAAGGTTCCAATTTGATCATCTGAGAATAAATTTCAATTTGGTTTACATTTTCCCCTAATTTTAAAACCTGATGGTGCATTTCGTACACAAGAAGGCAAGCACAGTTTGGAATATGCAAGTTACTTAAACTCAAACCTAACTGCTCTAAGCAATCAAACAACCAAGAATTACATGATAAAAATATATATGTTTCAAACATTTCATGAACCTATAGTCTGCTTTGTACTCAAACAATTCAGAATTGAAACTTTACAGAAACATGCTCGTATAGCATTATGATGCTGAAGCTTCCATGCCTTGTATGATTATAAAAATTCCAAACAGCAGCTTTGCTCTTAAAATTTAGCAAAAATGTTTCTTGTCCAAGTATTCAGCATAATCTTAGTGTTTAATATTTCAATTAAATGCTTTTTTAATCATGTAAATATCACAATATCTATTATAACTCTCCAAAACTTGATAAATTTCTCATTTAGACTTAAAATCCTACCTTTAAAGTTTTAATCTTCTTAAAAGCTAACTTCGCCGCCTTTTTTTTTTGTTTACAACAGTAAAAATCGTGATTATAGCACTCAAAAAATTTTCCTTCTAACTCTCATTTAGTAAATCTAGAAAAAAAAATTCTAAAAATCAGTAATGACTTCATCTTTGATTAAGGTCCTATTATCTTCACTCTTAATACTTACAAGATATTATTTGTCTGGCATAAGCAATTTAATCTCTCTCCTGCCACTCCTTGGTAAATACCCTATAATAAGGCATTAACAACTGAGCCTTGGGCTTAGTTTCAAAATATATTATTCTTTAAAAGCAATCTTTTTTTAACTTGTTCTGTCACCAATTTTTCTTATATTTAAAATCTTTTGCACAATCCTGGAACTAATTTGCCAAACTTCTTAACACAGCAAGTCTCATCTTGCATCAAATTTGATTTAACTTCAATGTTTCAATTGACTCTCTACTCAATCTATCTTGAAAGATTAACCTAAATTAACAACTCATCTTGTAAATGCTATCCTCTTATCCTATGGAAAGTTGGAAACCACGACTTTTGATTACTTCATTTATACTTCTGACATAAACATTTCATAATGACTACTTCATGTCGAGGGTTTAAGCCTTTTTACAATCTTTACAAAAAGTTCTTTTCTTTTTTTTTTAAACAAAATTAAAGTTTAATATTAAAATAGCTCCTTTAGAAAGTAGGTGCTCCTCTCGTATCTTCATTTATGTGTAAACTATTGCCAGGTACCGACTTCAAAAATCTCTTTGTAATTTAAATCTTCACTACTGCAAATTAAAGATATAGACTATTTTTCTCATCATTTGATTTAGTATGTACATCATAACTTCGTAAGAAACAGAAATTACGGTTATATGGTAATAAACAAGTAAAAAAACTTTTTAAAAAAATGCTTCGAGAAACTGGTAAACACACTTTTGCGAACCTGATAGGACAGTATTTTAATCCAAGCACTTTTGTCAACACCAAGCCATGTCTTCGAGAACCAAGGGGATTTTGATGATGAGGTATGTTCAAGAAAGGCCAACTCTATAGCCCGCGCTGCGTCGTGTAAGGCTTGCACTAGTACACTGCTAAGATTTTCACTTTGCAAAGAATGATCGGACTTAAATCTCATATCTTCTGTATCACTAGCAGGACTTTTTTGTGGGGTTCCATTAACTGCTACACTATCATCACTATAAGCTAATAAAGTAAATGGTGCAATCCATCTTTCTTTCCCTAAATAAGGCGAATATTTTCTGAATTCCAACCATCTATTTATGATGTTACGCTTCTCAAGTTCTGATGAGTAATGCCTCAAGTTAAGGCTCCTCCTTAAACCATTGTGATAGGACATCCAATATTTTGGACCTATGGCTTTGCGTGACAAATAAGTTTCCGACATTCTGCAAAACAAACACATTGAATGAGAAAGATGCAATAACCGTAATCTCATTATTATGTGAGTAGGAAAAACCGGATACATAAAATTCATCAGGTTCTCCCAGAGCAACTAATATCACTGTTGATATAGGGATGAAAATAGAACTCCGAATATCCAAATTCACCCGATCAAAGACTAGTACATAACCAGAAATTATCAATTCCAAATGCCCCATTGCTACGCATAAACTTAACTGATATTACCTCAATCAGATTAAGGTCACAAGCCATCAAGCGATTACAGACAAAAATATTCAAAAAAACAGTAAAGAAGACCAAGGACATTGAATTGAAGTGATCTACCCGCTGATCCCTGTTACCGTCCCCCAGGACGCGGCGGTCGCCGCCTCCATTGTACCTCAGTTATGCCTCTGAAGAATTTCCTAAATGAAGGATTTGCCAAAAGAGAAGCGATTCAACTGCGATAAACTTGTCATGACGTCCTCTTGGATTCTTGAGTAACTGTACTGAGAAAAAAAAATGCAGCAGATAACATCGAAGCGAGAGAAGGGAAACCGAGTCGCGTGTCAGAACGAAGAAATGACAGCCGGCATCGGTAGAGTCGCTGTCTAATTATAATGGGATATTTACGCAAATATATATTGTCATAAATTAAAATAAATAAATCATTTTCTCCAAAATAAAAAAAAATAAAAAAAAAATATCGTGATTCTGATATTTTGATAATTATATAGAAATATCATATTTATGTCTTTTAATTTTATTTTCATTCATAAACTTTTGGCTCTGTTTTAAGAAAAATTTTGTTATCTCATATAATTCATAATGGTTTTCCTAATTAACCTTTTTGTCAGGTGGATAAAAGCATGTATTCAGATGTGAACTTCTCTATAGTCATCAATGGGGCCTTGGAGGGCTATTTACCTTCGACTGCTGGGCTTAGACAAGATTGTCCACTTAGTCCATATTTTTTTTGTCTGGTTATGGACGCCTTCTCAAATCTTCTTGAGGAGAGAGGTTTTAAAGGTATCTCTACAGATAATTATACTCTTTCACATCTCTTTTATACGGATGATGTGTTGGTTTTTGGGGAAGCTAGTTTAGAGAACTGGCACAAGCTAGCTAGTATTCTTAGAGATTTTGCTAACGCTTTTGGCTACATATAAATTTTGATAAATGCTCTATCATGTTTCCTAAGAATCAGAGGAACCAAGAAGATATATGTCAAGCTCTCTCTCTATACATAACATAAGCTCAAAGATTACATATCTTGGTATTCCATTATCCTTCTACAGGCACAAAGTAGAAGACTTCCTGCCTCTTATGGACATTATTTTGATACAAGCTCAAATTTTGATAAATGCTCGATCATCTATCTAAACCTTTGTTGAGATCTTACATTAAGGATTTGCACTAGAACTTTCCTGTTAATGCTCCTCTACAGCTGAGTAGTATTGTTGGTAGCATTCCTATCATTGATAGTGTAGGTCCCTGTCTACTTTGGAATAATCAGAACAATGTTAAATTTAGGGGCTTTATTGAGGAATTTTACAAAGATCTGCCTCCCTACACTTGGTACAAGATGGTTTGGCACAAAAAACATATCCTGAAACACTTTGTTTATGTTTGGCTTGCTTTAGTCGGAGGCTTGAAAACTGCATATGCTTTGCACATTAGAAATATACATATCCCAGTCACAAGCAGTTTATGCCACTCAAATTCTGAAAGTGTTAATCACTTGTTCTTTGAATGTTCATTCTCATTTTCTATTATGGTTGGTCTCATTTTTGAGACGAGAGCTTTTCTTCTTATGCCTTAGGTGCTGCATCTTTTACAATGGCTGGAATATGATTTATTTGAGTCACCCTCTGTTAAAAACTTTTACATGCTGATAATTTTGCTACACTATATATCAAATTTGGAAATAATAGAAATAATCAGATATTTGGGGTTGTTATTCATAACAGCTCTTCCTTGTTGATCAGTATTAAAAGAGTGGTATATGGTAAAGTTTTAAAGTGGAAAAACTCGATCAATCTGATGGAAAAGCTTTGTGATGGCAGGCGTTTCTATGCACTCGGTTCTCTGTCCCTTTAATTCGACTGCTTGATATGTTAGCCTGGACGATGATGAAGTTTCATATGTTGGTTTATGATAGCCTGACCCCTTGGATGATATTCGGGCAACCGGGGGTTAGTAACTGTCTATGATTTCGATCTAAATCCCAAGTCCTGACTTTATTGTTTTGGAGCCCTATTTTGGCATATTTGACGTGCGATATTTTTGTTGATGCAACATCTAATGAGCTCTTCTGAGCTTTTACCCATTTTTTGCTGGGCTTATTTTGTCTTTTTTACAAATTTGTAATCTCTTGTTAATAATATACGGGCTTTGCCCAAATTTAAAAAAAAAAAAACAACACATTCTTGTAATTAGGTTGAGTTACTTGAGAATATCATTAAACTTTTTATATAAAATTAGCACAAAGAATTTTTTATAGATAATAATATTATTTAAATATGAAAATACTACTAATTTATTAGATTTCATTCACAATGATTTATTAAAATATTAATTTAATTATAACATGTTCAAATAGATAAATTTATCTGTTTATTTAAAATGTTTAGTAACAATTATTTAAAGAATGACTATTTTGATGTTGCAAATGCACCTAAATATTCATTAATTGTGTTTTAGAAAGTTAACTTAGTATGACTTAAATGCATATAATTAGAAAATTATTAATTTAGTTGATTTTAGACAAATATGCTAAAAGTTTTTTATACAAAAATTACCCCTCTTATATTTACAAACTATTTATTAAAGTTCATCATGAGTTAAATTGATTGGAAACTAATTCATTTTGAACATTCATCCCAAAGTGGTTCAACCTAGTTCAAACCAAGGTTTGAACTTTTGTTCAAACCCTATTATTCAACCCTATGCATGTCTTCTGATGCCTTCCCCAACAAGCTTTGTTGCATGCCACTGGTTCCGCAATGCCTTCCCAGGTGAGATCTATACCTAAGGTCTCTTATCTTATACATAATTAGTCTCGTTGTTGGCTTCCATGATGAACCCATCACATGCCACCGATCCAACAATGTGTCCCTAATGAGGTCTATTGGCAGAATTCCGACGGTGGTCGAGGAGCCCTCTCTCAAGAGAAATGAGGGATCTATTTATAGATTTCTGGAGTGGCATAGCCCGTAAATAGGTGAGAGATCAGGGGTAAATGGGGAGTGGTTGGATGGACGGCCGATATTGAATCCCTTGGTCGTGGACCGTTCGTCAGATATTTGAAGTTCTTAATGATATTGGAATTCGGCAATCTTAGGCTCGTTGGATTCTTCTCGTCGAGATGCTCGATTCGATTATAAGCGTGTCATATTTGGAAACTGATTGGTAATCCAAATTATGGATTGAACCTTTCAAATGTGCTTCGGCCTTCGATTCAGACACATTTGGGCTCGGATTGAGCTGAATTTGGTGTCGTTGGGTTCGTATTTCTGAGAACGATCATGCTCGACTGTTAAGTTTGCTGAAATCAGAGTTCAGCATGATCCCAGGATTAATTTTGAAGTTTTTTTTTAACTTGATTGTTGAGATTGTGCCTGATCAAAGATAATTTTTCAGTGAATATATCAATATCATAATTTATGATCTCTTGAATTTTAATTTCATTTATAACTAATCATCACTGAAGAAAATGACACATTCTTGTAATAGGTTGAGTTACCTGTTGAGAAGATCATGAAAACTTTTTCTTTATAAGATTTAGCACTAAAAATATTTTTATATAATATTATTATTTAAATTTGGAAAACCACAAACTATTTATTCGATATTCATTCCATTGATTTATTAATTATTATTAATTTAATATAACATATTCAAATATATAAATTTATCATTTATTTAAAAAGTTTAGTTACACAATTAATTTAATAGACATGATATCATTTGATGTCGCAAATGTACATAAATAGTTTCATTGCTGTTTGGGAAGTTAAAATTAATATGACTCTATACTGTATATAATTTAGATAAATATAAACTTGGTTTATTTTTTAGACAAATAATGACCTAAAAGTTTTTTTATACAAAAAATTATCCCTACTTATATTTACAGAACTACTTATTAAAGTTCATTCATGAAGTTAAATTAAATGGAAACTAATTCATTTGAACATTCATCCCCAAGTGGCTTCAACCTATAGGTTTTTTTTTTCGGGAACCAAGGTTTGAACTATTTGTTTCAATCCTATTATTTAGGGGCTGCAACGCGAACCAACGTTTGACGAGCTATTCGTTGTTCTCGGTCGATTAGAAGCTCTGTTTGTGATCGTTAATTAACTAAACAAACAAAACTTTAACAATATTTTTAACATACTCCCGATTATTAAATAAACAACTCTGAACACTAATGCCGTTCAGCCTTTATGTTCGCGAACAACATATTTTGAACGTTCGGTGAACACAGCTCGAATCTAAGTGATAAGAAGCTCAAAAAAAGCTCGATTCGTGTTCCATTTTGAACCGTGAATAAGCTCGATAAAAATAATTAATAGTTGACAATAAAATTAATAAATATAAATAATCATTGTATTTGTTACATAAATAATTGCTTTTATTATAAATATGTTTGTTCATAGATATGTTCATGAACGTGTTTGTTTGATAGTTAAAAAAAATCGTTAAATATGTTTGCGAACAAGCTCGATAAGCATTAAACGAACGAACATGAACTGAACATGAGCCGTACATGAACACTGATAAATTTAAATGAACCAAATATGAACACAAATAATAAAGCTCGAACAAACATGAATCAAACTTGAACAAGCTGATATTAAATGAACACAAACATGAACACTCACATACTCGGCTCGGCTCGGTTCGTTTGCAGCCCTACTATTATTCTACCCTACGCTTGACTTCTGATGACTTCCCCAACAAGCTTTGTTGCATGCCACTGGTTCCGCAATGCCTTCCGAGGTGAGATCTATACCTAAGGTCTCTTCTCTCATACATAATTAGTCTCATTGTTGCCTTCCTCGATGAACCCATCACATGCCACCGATCCAGCAATGTGTCCCTAATGAGGTCTATTGGTAAAATCATCTTCTTCTCACATATAGCCAATCTCATCATTGCCTTCACTAGTAAGCTCTGGCGCACAACGCCAATTCTATCTTGCTTGACTGGCGAGATTCATTAGCGAACTCATCCTTTACTTCTATGCAATAAGTCCTATCATTGCCTTCCCTAGCAAGCTTCATAATATAGGATAAGGCAATTTATCGGAGATCAACTTTAAGGCATAGTTCTAAAAAAATGAATATTTGCCTAATTATATATATTATGATATATATGCGCATCTAAAGTAAATTTTCCTTCCAGCTTGTTATAAAACAGTTTGGGCTATTTTAAAAATAAAAATTTACTTTTTAACATTTGATAAATTTGAATGTGATCAATGGAATTCTAATTAATTAATGTAAAATATATCAACTTGTACACAATCAACAAATAAAAATTCTAATAATGGTTTATGTCAAAGTTGAAATCAATTTATAAAACAAAATAAAACTATGTCGACCTATTTGATTTTGAATTGTAACATAGTATAAGGTTTTATTTGGGATAACTTTCTTATTGATTTATAAAGCAATTTTTTTATTAAAAAAAATTCTAATTCAAAAATTTTATACTAGAAAATTATTTTAAAAAATAATAAGATAGTTGTTCCAAACGAAACCTAGTTGTTCCAAACAAAACCAAAGTTAATTTTTCTGCTTGATTTATCTTGGTGAACGATAAGGTTCTTATTTCATCTATAACCTTATGAGCACCTTCAAAAAGTTTTAAAGATTGTTTATCCCTTCATTAATTTGTGAGTTGAAGACTCCGTGCACTTTTCATGATAGGAATACTTCAATAAAAAAGTTTTGTATTTGAGCATTCTAAAAAATATATATAAAAAAACATGGATTTTAAAATTTTAAAATTTAATTTAAGATGAATATAATACATGATTAATTAATTTGAATTAATATTATATTGATTTAAAAATACAAAATTTTAAAATAATTCTAATTAAAGTTTTCGTCAGAATATTCTAATTCAATTTTTTTTTTCAATTCTAACTCTTAGCCAATATAGCATATTAATATGGATGCAGTGAGCTTATCTAAAAATACTTCTCCGACAACAACTTCAAACATATTACTACTCTATGATATGCGTGCTTGAGAATTGCCCAACAAATTGCTTCATGTGTTGTTTTAGGTTTTGTTTGTTCTAAAAGTAATTTTTACTGCAAAAATTTATTAATCCAAAAAATTTTTGAACTAAAAAATTATTTTAAAAAACAGTAAAAAAGATGTCCCTACGTTTGGGACAACTTTTGCCCACTGCTTTCTTGTTGTTTACAAAGACAATTTGTGCTAAGAAACTATTATAGAAAATAATAAAAAATATTTCAAATGAAATATAGTATATCAACTTCCTACTTCTATGAAAACTATGCTACTAATGCTTTTATTAATATTAATATTTCATTATGCAGTCTTAGGCTTTGTTTGGGACGGTTTTCTTCCTGCTTCTTAAAATAGCTTTTTAGTACCAAAAAAAAATTTATACTAGAAAACTGCTTTAAGATGCATTAAAAAAACAGTCTCAAATGAAGCCTTAATGACCTTCAAGACAGCTATTAATGCTTGTTAGTTTGATTATATTTATGCATAGCTTTGGATAGCCACATTATGCTCTGAACAGATAATTTAATAAACAAAATTGAGCTTCTATTTGCAAAGGCACGACCGCACGATCATCTCCCCCCATATACAAATATCAGTGACTTCAAGATAATTTTATAAAAGAAGATAGTAATGTGAAACTTAGTGCTGTACAAAGTCAGCAACGCCGAAGGCTCTCTGAGTGAATAGTCTCAATAATCATTTTTCGTAATGTGAAGTCAAGCAATGCCAGAAAAGAAGAAATGCAAAAATATTTACAGTGTATTCAATATAGATTTTGTTTGAGACGATTTTTTTACTGTTTCTTAAAGTAATTTTATTGCGTAAAAATTTTAATTTTTGTACTAAAAAGTCATTTTAAGAAACAGTAAAAAAACCATCCCTGGGACGACTTTCTTACTGCTTCTTAAAGCAATTTTTAGTACAAATATTTTATTTTTTATATTATAAAACTACTTTAAAAAGCAGTAAGAAAGCCGTCCCAAAAGAAGCCATAATTTTATTTATAAAACTAATGGTTAAGATTCAATATAATTTACATGGGCAAGATTTAATATGATTTATGTGAATAAAAAATTGTTAGCAGGAATGAAGCAAGATGAAAGATAAAAAATAAAGGGCCTAAATTTATATATTTAGGGCAAGATTAAATATGATTTACGTAAATAAAAAATTGTTAGCATGAATACAAAGGCTTCGAAGATGAAATGTAAAAATAATGTAGTTATAAGTTAAAAATTGAAGGGCCTAAATTTATAATTTTAAATGAAAGTGGGCAAGTTTTAATATTATTTATTTACCTAAAGTTTTTTTTAGCATGAATACGATCGTTTAGAAGATGAAAGGTCAAAAATAAAATAGTTATAAGATAAAGAATGAAGGGCCTAAATTTATATTATTATGGCAAGATTTAATATGATTTATGTGAAAATTATTAGCATTAATACGAAGGCTAAGAAGATGAAAGATCTAAATTTATATTTTAGATCAAAGTGGATGTGATTTAATATGATTTATGTTGATAAATCAAGAAGCTCAGAACAGAGAAAAGGAAAGTGAAATCTTTATATTATTTCTAAAAGTATTACAAGTAGTCTTATATATAGAAAACTGATAACCCGTGGACGGTCAGGATTAAATGCATCCTAACCGTCTAATACAATATATCTAATATCCCCCCTCAAGCTAACCATGTATGGTTAGCTTGTTTCTAAGAAATAAAAATCTAGAAGTAGATAAAGCCTTGGTAAACACGTCCGCAGGCTGATCTATAGACGCGATGTGATGAACGGTGATATGCCCATTCTTGATGTAATCCCGAATAAAATGGTAGTCCACCTCAATGTGTTTTGTTCGGGCATGAAGACTGAGTTATTTGCAAGAGCCAATGCTGAAACATTGTCGCAATATAGAGGTGTTGGCGTCGGACATGGAATTTGAAAATCTAATAACAACCTTCGAAGCCACATGATGTCACTAGCTGTAGAGGCAAGAGCTCGATACTCGGCTTCCGTCGAGGAGCGAGCAACCGTAGGTTGCTTCTTAACGGACCAAGAAAGAAGATTATCACCCAAAAATTCACAAAAGCCAGAGATTGAACGTCGGTCATTGGGATTGGCAGCCCAATCAGAGTTGGCGAAAGCTTGCAGTTGAAATGTAGATGGACGAATAGGCAGTGAGAATTCTGTCGTGCCCTTGAGATAGCGAAAGACTCGTTTGAGAGGCTGATGATGAACCTGATATGGCTTGTGCATTTGCTGACATAAGTAATTGACTGCAAACATAATGTCCGGGCGAGTGATCATAATATACTGTAAAGAGCCAACCAATTGTTTGTAATCAGTGGGTTTATCGAAAAGTTTGAATTTTTCAGAAATAATAGGCAGTTTTGACGGTAAAGGACTAGTAACCGGTTTGCATTGAGACATACCATTTTTAAAGGAAATTTTAAGGACTTAGCAGATGTCGGAAGTTAGATGAGAGCTGGCACCGAAAACAAGAAACCATTCCGCCGGCGGTGGATCTTCATGTGCCAAGAAAGCTTGAGGAGGTCCAGGTTGGTATTCAAGATTTGTACGATGCCAACAGTGAGCTGCAGAATGGCCAAATTTGCCACAAATCTGACAGTCCACCGGCGTGGAGTTACGACGAGTACCTCTGGGTGTCGAATTTTGAGATCGCATCCCGCGTTGATTTGAATAACGACCTCGCGATCGTCCGCGACCACGGCCTCGAGAAGCCGTAAGAGCAAACGAACTGTCTGTAGTAGTTTGATCAGTATTATCGGGACGAGCATCAACTGCTAAATTTGTCTCTTCACTGCATAACAAGGCGTACAGATCATCAAGACTAATCGGATGCAGTTTTGTCCGAATTGATGTCTTGAAGGCATTGTATGAAGAAGGAAGACCGTTAAGTGTGTATAGGATGATATATTCAGGTTCGATGGTTGATCCAGCAGCTGAAATAGCATCGACACGCTGTTTGATTTCTGAGAGGTATTGAACCATTGAGCGATCCTTCATATGGAGTTGATGAAGTTCGTTTTTAAGTTGCATAATACGAGATCTATTCGCCGATTGAATTCGTCGTTCTAACGTAAACCAGATGTCCAAGCAAGAATCAAGATTGATGACATACGGTAAGATAGAGGCAGAAATAGTCGAAAACAGGGCAGATGTCAGATTTTGGTCGATAAGCTGCCAAGAAGTGTACTGAGGGTTGCTGATGACTACATTGTCCGTATTTAGGCTTTGTTTAGGAGGTTTAGGATTAGATCCATCAAGATAACCAAATAAGTTATTGACATAAAAGAGTTTTGTGATTTGAGAACGCTATATAGGATAGTTGTCGGTGGTAAGGGAGGTATTCAAAACGGTTTTGACATTGGACATCAGAAATTTTAAGGACGTCGGGATGGAGATATCGGTGGTAGGTTGAGACATCGGAGGAATAGAGGAAGTAGACGAGCTTTCTTGAGAAGCCATAGGAAGAAGATAGATCGGAAAAAAAAAATTACCTGGTGAGCTCTGATACCATGTTGATAAATCAAGAAGCTCAGAACAGAGAAAAGGAAAGTGAAATCTTTATATTATTTCTAAAAGTATTACAAGTAGTCCTATATATAGAAAACTGATAACCCGTGGACGATCAGGATTAAATGCATCCTAACTGTCTAATACATTATATCTAATAATTTATGTAAATAAAAAATTGTTAGCATGAATACAAAGGCTTAGAAGATGAAAGGTAAAAAATAATATAGTTATAAGATAAAAAATGAAAGGCCTAAATTTATATTTTTAAATAAAAAATGAATACTTCATCTCATGGCTAAGATTTAAAATAATAAGAGATAAATGCATGGCTATAATTTTATATTGGAAGAATCACAAGCCACTTCATAAAAGTCAAAATTGAATAGTTCATTTCAAGAAGTTTGAATGGTTGAGATTTAAATTAATAAGAGCTAAATGAATGGCTATGATTTTACTTTGGAAGAATCACATGCCACTTTTATAATAGTCAAAATTGAATACTTCATTTCAAGAAGTTTGAATGATTGAGATTTAAATTAATAAGAGCTAAATGAATGACTATGATTTTATGTTGGAAGAATCACAAGCCAATTTTATTATAGTAGTATGGTATGTATATTTTTATGTTTCATATATAATGATTGATATAACATTGTTTGATATCATAATAATATTTAAGTATTTATTATAAATATTTAATATATTGTGTCATGTGTTGTGATATGAATATAAGTGATATTAAATTTTTATGGGAGATGTTGCAAAATATGAATAAAAAGTTATAGGTTCTTAACAAAATATTTACTCGAAGTTGATACATATAAAAAGATAAAAATTGTGTTCCTTTTACAGATAAAACCATCGTTATTTATCTACCAAAACTTTGCATAAAATTTTTAGCTAAAAATCAATTGTTTTACCCTTGAATATTTGCCTTAGTTATAATCCTTTAAGTGGCCATAAATCTCACAAGGTTTCCCTTTAATGGGACATGCCAATTCTTAGAAGATCATGGATGTTTTCAAGTTAATATGTTGACTCGCTATATTTTTTATTTATAGTCCGACGGTTGTGATTTGCTATGTAAAAGTGCAACTGCAAAACGGTGAGGTGGAGGCACATAGTGCAGAAGCAGCAGCTGGATAGAGCAATGATAATTGCTTTTCAGTTCGGCTTATCAGTATTCAACTTTCTTATTATTGTCTCATAGTCGATTGCCCTTACTTTAAAGGAAAATATCTCTCTTTATTATTCCTCAATCATCTGTACAACTATTCTATGCCAATGATAGAGGCCTTCAAACACCCTTATATATTTGCATGAACTTCTCAATGAATTCACCAATGCTTGTGCCAATTTGTTCCTTGACTAAAAGTGGAGCATGAAAATTTAGTCAACTTGGTGTAGGGACCACATCCTAGCACCCTCTTCCCTTATAATCATTTGCTTCTCTAATGGCTAGCCTAACTTCATCACCACCATTGTTAATGTGTCTCTAAGAGCTCTTTCAACGGTGTGACCACCATATTGGTTATAACCTCATTAACCTATATTGATTTTAACTCCATGGCTCTTCCGGCCACTTCCTCTTATATAATTTTTTCCCACTTTTTAAGTATCATCCTTTCATGTTGCCTCCTCCATTGCTTCCTATTATTTGATTATTAGTCACACAACCTCTTCTTCTTGAGTAGCATTTAATGCCACAATTCATTATTTGGTTGCTCATTATGCAGTTTGTGCACTATCTCTTCTACCACCATTATTTTTGTAGATTTTTCCTTTTTAATTCTTTGACTTTTCTATAAGCATTTCTCAAATTTGTCAATATTACGCAATGTCATGATGAGTAATAATTTTTTTTAAATATTTTAGACGTTCGCATTAAGCTCCTTATATAACCAATTCATATTTAACAATGGCTTGATTGAAGTATCTAATTAAATATTATCTCATGTTAAGAAGTGGTATGTCTTCTTGATGAAGGAGTGATAGATAATCAGTGGCTTGACATCTTGAATGATCATGCATATTCAGAAAGAACAAATCATTGGCTCCGTATAAGGGCAAAGTGTAACACATGGTTAATCATACCCTATTCAGAAAAGAACAAATATTAAATTATTAGCAATCAATCTCAAAAGAAGTTCCTACCTGATCCTGCAAATCCAGTTGCTTGTAATGTAGTCATATTTATTCATCAAAATATTATGGGCCAGCTTATATGATTTACTGCCACTCAATCATACCCTTATAGCTTACATAGAAGTATTTTGGCTAATCCCATGTGTGATGCCCCAGAATTCAAACCATAATCCAAATTGAAAGAATTAATGCATCTTTAATCTCTTATTTAATCTACCAAATATTGTATAAGATCATCAATATAAATCAGTCTAGCGGATGTGAATCTAAAAAATCATATACATCAAAATCTTTCACTATATTCATTTGTCAAAATTTGATTTACAATAGTCCGAATATCACTTATAATAATGTAATATAGATATATCTCAACAAGCACTTGATTATAAAAACATAAAATAAAATACATAAATCAAAAGAAAAACTCGAAGATTGTGATAATATCACTCCATAGGGTCCTAAACATTTCCCTAACTTAAAATAAATAAAATTAATATGATGAGCACATAACCCAACAAGTAATCAAAACCTACCAATACATTTAATGCAAGGTATCAAGAACCAATATGCATGCTCAACTCAATCAACATAAAATCAGTGGTCATTTGAAAGGCCATCGTTTTACGTGACCAAACCATCTAAGGCGACTCTGTCTAATCTTATCTTCCATTGGAGCTACTCCAACCTTTTCACATATATGCTCATTTTGTATCCTGTCCCTAAGGGTAAAACCACTAATCCACATGAGCATCCTCATCTCTACAACACTTAACTTAGTATTATGTTTCTCTTTTAATGGCCAACATTCTTCACCACAAAGCACTACAGGTCTCACCACCATCTTATAGAATTTCACCTTAAGTTTGAGAGGGACTTTCTATCACACAACAAGCCAGATGCATTCCTCCACTTCAACCATCCAACTTGAATTCTACTGTTAATATCCTCATCTATTTCACAATCACTTCGAACAATAAATCCAATATATCTAAAACATGTACTCTTATTAATAAGTCATTACTGAATATATTCGATTATTAACTTGAATTCTACTGTTAATATCCTCATCTATTTCCCCCCACTAGGTCTATTACTGTTAAAGTTATATTCTATATATTCGATTTTAGATCTACTCAAGCAAAAATCTTTAGACTCTAAGATTGACCTCCATAATTTGATTTTACCTTTCAACTCCTGCTCTAGTCTTATCAACAAGAAAAATATCATCAGCAAAAAGCATACACCAAGATACACCCTCTTGCAAATATCTAATGAGAACATCCATGACTAAAGTAAAAAGATATGGGCTTAAGGCTGATCCTTAATGTAATCCAATCGAAATAGGAAAATACTTTGTCAGACCACCTTGTGTTTGAACATTTCTCAAATGCACCGGGAAGTCCTCAGGAAAAGCCCAGTTTGAAGAAGAAATGAGGTAATTCAAAAAGCAGTCCGGAATGTCCTCCATATAATTACCCCCTAGAAACTCATAAATAGTAGCATTGTTGCACCAATGATCCCATCTCATAGAGATAGGAGCATTGTGAGTAATTTTAAGTTGAAAGCATGATTTAACTCCTACAGCAGTGTCACAAATAGATTTCCAGAGATTGGAGGCATAAGCAGGTGGTGGCCTCCAAGGGGATCTGTATCTATAAAGGAGCCAAGTAAAAAGAGGAGAAGGGATGTTGTACATTCTATAGATGACAGAAAAGTTGTAAGCAAATTGCAACACAAAAATAGAAGGGATACCCAGACCACCCTTATATTTCGGCCTACATATTTTTTCCCAAGACACCATATGCAACTTTTAGAAATCTGAGAATCTCCAAAAAATAAAAACCTAGAGCTGTTTTTTTTGACATATTTGTAGACAATTTTCGGCAGAATGGACCCCCTTATCCAGTAGGCTATGGTGTTCTGAATAGTGAATTTGATATATTGAAGCCTACCGGCAAAAGACAACAAGTTAGCATTCCAACCATTCATTTTCTTGTTAACACTACCCATAAGAGGGATGCCAATATAAGTGATTTTTGAGACAATGTTGTGAATCGAGAGAGCTTGACAAATCTCCGTAGTGTTACTAAGATATTTAGGAAACATAATAGCACTTTTGTCATAATTAATATGGAGACCTGAAGCATTAGCAAATTCACTTAAAATGTTAGCAAGAAAGTTACAATTTTCAATAGTAGCCTCCCAAAAATTAGCACATCATCTGCATAGAGCAAATGATTTATGGAGTCGGTACCTCATAAAAATTCCAGCGAGACGGCCGCCTCCAGAGAGAGTTCTTGCAAACATAAATCCCATAAAATCTGCCGGGATTTACCGAGTAAATCCGTACAGGATTCACCTAGGATCGAGATTTAAGGAATGCTCAAAAATCTCAAAATAGTTTGACAGGATTTAGCATAAATCTGAGGTAAATCCGAACATAAATCCTAGACCAAACAGCCCCTAAATTTTGATCCACAATGAGCTACTGTTGCCGCCTTGTCCTGGTTGGCTGGCGGCGCTCAGCTGCAAAGTGGCATCTGAAAAGCATATTCTTTACCCACACAACTGAGGACAGGCGAACGAAATTTCTCCGCGGCCGATCGATAGCGCACATGTTGACGGTTGGTAGATGTGATTCCGCGCCGCTGGAATTGACCGGTCCACTGCTTTTCTCATAATAGACCCTCAGATTATAGAGTTTTATGTAGATCACGTACACGGCATCGCTACCTAGTGGACAAAATTGCCAACACTGAGGGACTTTTATAAGAGTTTTCCAGTTTCTTAAAATGGCTAATCCTCTCCCGGGCTCTTGATTTTTCCTTGCCTCTCAAGCCATTCCCTCCAATCTCCATACTCTCGCTCCTTGATCTAAAGTTTTCACTGTCGACCTCGCCGCTTTCGCCGTCCACTGGTTGTGTAAAGTAATATAGCTTTTGCTCGCGGAAATAAAGACGTTGGTAAGTTTATTGCATCTATCTTCTTAATTTGTTTAGACGCATTGGTGGAGATGGGAAGTACGTTTTACGGTTCAATGCATTTAAGAATTAGGTCGATTTAGTAAACCCAGGGATTTGATCATTGGTCCTGTGGCTCGTGGGTGCTAAAAAGCTTGGTTCTTTTATATCTTCTTCTTTAGATCCATCAAATATGATTTTTCTTGATGCACTGAAGCGCATCTTGCTCATTCCGAGGCTCACAAGAAATTTCCTTAACACATATGTCAAACTGCAATTCTTGGAGTTTTCATTGCTTTAAGGCACACAAGAAATTTTCTAAATCGTCAAATCTGAGAAAGCGAACACGGCAAATCTAATTCTTATTCTTTTTGAGATGCTAATTTTTATGCCCCCCTAAATTTTATTATTATTTTTTTAATTTTTGGGTAGACTGGTGAGTCTGGCTTCTTGAAACTCGCAAGTCCCATAAGATTTATTGCTCCTTCGACGACGTTCCCTTCCTGTTGGATTGGAAGTTACGACATTTTTTTGATCGGAAGCAACAACGGGAGCTCGCTTGCTGTGAAGGTAAATTTCTCCCTTTCGCGCGCTTCTTCGGCCAAATCCCGTAAATCCGCCGAACCAAAGGATTTCGTAAATCCGGGATTTAACAGGAAAAGAGGGAATTTTCCGTCAACCGCGGCTTTGATTTACCGTGAGATTTGGTTTTGCATTTTTGGCCGTTTGGCTGGATTTAGCTCAAATCCGCTTCAAATCCAGCCTAAATCCTGCATACAAACAGCCCTTTCGTTTTGGGATTTGTTTTCATGGAAGGTGTGGTTAAGGTGGATCCCGTTGTTTGCCAATTGAAATTTTAATTGTTAGTAACTTCAGAACAGTGGTTTGATTGAGGATTGATTGTCAAACCTCACCTTTTTTCTAATATTGACAGTTTTATTGAATTTTATGATAAGTAGGATAAATTTCATACTGAATCCAATTGTTGTTTTTTGAAGCATAATCTTGTAAAACTGAATTCTTGATAACTTGTGCAGCTTGCCTTGTGACAAAGGGAGGAACGCCATTGAAGAGGTGACATTCCGAATGGCTAATGTTACCTCTTCTTACATTCAGGGTACAACTTTCATCAGGTAGCCTTTCCCACTTTTTCTCTGATGTTGTATCTGTAAATTTTCTAATATGCCACATTTCATGGTTATTGCGAGCAGCAGTGAGAAGTCATAAGGAACCAGTGTATTTTCACTGGAAATGATTATTTTTCTGTTTATGTGCTAATACACATCTCTGTTTCTTGATGTTCGCTTATTGAAAGAAAGTTCCTATGAATCAAGACAGGTTATAATCTTCAACAAGGCCACTGACTGTATTTGTAAAAAAAGTAAATAGGTTAACTAATGTTCTATATACTCTTCACTGTCTCTTTGAATTCTAAACAATACTTTCAACATTTTGAAAATATGTTTTTCCTCTTTCCTTGAAAATATTTTTTATTTTTTTTTATTTCCTTTAAAATATATCTTTGTGCTATAGTGCAAGCTTCAGGTGTACAAGATGCTCCTAGCTTTTGATCATTTTTGTCTCATCTTGGCTATGGACACTACATCTTCCTCATCCTTTCCTTTTTCATCATTAACCTTCTCGAAATAATTTGGGGCAGATTTATTGAACCTTCTTATCGAATATTTATTGTTGAGTATTGCATGAGGTGCTGAATCACTCAACTTCTAGCCTATTATCCTTGGTCTAAACATTTTCTTTTCCAGTTATTTCTTTTAATTCTATTGGCTCAAAAATTGCATCTTCAATTTTCCATTCATAAATTATTAAATATCTTCCACTGCAAGTTTATTAATATTCACCATCTTTTGTAGCCACTACTCTCACAATTTCTCTAGTGCAATGGATTTTCTCTACCCTTTTAGTTTTATGATCAATCTTACAAGTTTCATTCATTTTTGTTCACTTACATTAATTTTAATTAATTTCTACATGTAAGTTCATGAAACAAAATTTGTCTAATTGTAGTTTTATATTTAAATTTTAAGTCTTCATGAAATTCTCTTATCACATAACACATTTGCAGCATTCATTCATTTTAATCCACAAACTTTAACTCTTGAAGTTTTCATGTCATCTATGTGCTTATTCTTTTGCATAATACATCAAAGTTATCTAACCCTTTTTCACCTAAATATAACTTGATTTCATAACAATATTGGCTTATAATTTTGAAATTCATATATGCTAAAGTTGCGCATCTTGCACTCAAATTTTTTTTTGGCTAATTTAATCCTTTTGTATTCCATAATTTCATCCATTGCTCTAAGTTCTACTTAGTTCAAAATGGATTTCAACTATTAGAATTATGATAGGAAACACTTGGGTTCACAAGTTTTCCTATCCCAAACTAGTAAAATTACAGCAGCCAACTGCTGTCCACAGAAGCAAAACAGCAGAAAAACAGGGAAAACGCACCAGGAAATAGGGAAAAAAGGGAGAAAAACACATAGTATAAGAAGATAAGAATTTAATGTTATTTTTTGATGTAATCCTACCCATGATCATGAATGCTTTTGCCGCATAACTACATCATTCCTATTATTGATAAGTAGCATTCCTTTGAGTCTCATTATTTCTCCTTGTGCCTACAACAAATAAATTATCATTGTATTTGGTCATGCTCTTTTTCAAGATCAACACTCATCATATAACAGTCTTTCAGTTTTCTCTATAGTTTTTCTTTAGCTCAAAACTATCCTTTAGAAGTTATTTTAAATACAAACCAAACTTATTTTTTGACGTTGACATGCATTTGATTAGTATATATTAGATTATGCTCTTTTATGAATTCATTGTTGGATTGCTTTAGTTTTATTTCCCTTTCTTTTTTTTTTAGAAATAGGAAAATACCATTTTAGTTTTATTTCCCTAGATTTGTAGTTTCAAGCATCTTTTGTTCTTAAATATAGTGTTAAATGCTTAGTCTCCAATCATTTGGAATCTTGTTAATTTGCAGGATTACAGCATTTTTCAAACCAAATACTACACCTCGCTCATAATTAAAAAAAAAATTCTCAAATGACATCCTACAAGAATTTCAAGCCAAAACTAAATTAAGGTTGCTTTTTGAAGTTATTTATAGTATATTCCATGATTTTTTTATTATCTTATTTTAATAAATTTATTTCTTAAAAACTATTTTACTAATTTCTTAAAATAACATTTTTCATCTCAGTAAATGCCTTATTCTTTAACTTAATATTGTTATGTTAACTCAAAATATTCTTACTTGATCAAAATTTTTAGACATACTTATTTTACTTTAGCTATTAAATATATTTCATTATCTCTTTTCTCTTCTTCTAGGCTATATACAAATCATCAAGAGTTGTACCTTTAACTTTCTTTGCTACTCTCTTTATGAGACATTAACTTTATAACTATGTATGCCCCAATTAATTTTTTTTCATTATTTCTTTTCTTAAAATCACATTTCCTCTTAATAAATTTTTGTATTTCCTGATTCCATCACAATGCTATGATGTACGATTTATTTATAGGCACTTTTATTTAGTTCAATAAAGTGGTTCGATTCTAAATTCCTACTTTGATCTCTTAATAGTCCATATTGGGAAGATTTTCATATTTTAAGTTTCATCATCTTATTTAAGTTGTTTGCTTCTTTTGATTATTTTCGTTATACTTTTAACATATGCATCCATCACTATTGCTCTAACTAATGGGGGTTGAACTTACTTTCGAAAGTTTTTTATAGTATTTTCAAACGATAAAAGCTCAAACTAGCTTCTCAACTATTTGTATGTGATCAATTTTGTCTCAAAGTATCGCATTTCTCTAATTTAAGCTCTTGAATATACAAAATTGATCCCAAATGATTATGTAAATAAAAAAAAGGATAGAAAATTGATCCTCATTTAGTCCCTAGACTATAAAAATTAATTTCAATTTAGTCCTTAAAGGACTATTTGAGGTCAATTTTATATAGTAGAGGGATTAAATTGGATAAATATGATAATTTAGAACTAAATTTGGCACATACAAATGATTGGTGAATTATTTTTTTGGCTTTCTTTCCATTTCAAACAACATTTCTCTCCTTATTAGTAAGAGTGTGTATTTAATATTTGGTAACTTTTCTTTTTTATATTCATTAAGTGATTGAGAAAATGATCAAAATGATCCCTTAACTTTTTGTGAGGGACCAAAATGGCCCCCAACTATTTTGAGGGACCAATTTGGTCCTTTGAACTCCCCTAAATAGGACTTTTTTGGTCATGTCGTTAATTTTAAACAAAAAGGTGAGATGGGCTCTAGGCTATTATCTGAATAAGCAAAAAATACTTTAAGACATCTTCCCACAGCAGAGTAGCATATTAGCGATTCCTCAAGGTGCAACCAAGCCGGCTGTCCATCCTGCAGTCCCGCATCGTCAATCATGTCTCGCAGCATGGATCGTGTCGACCCTTGTAGTCCATCCCCAGAGCAGTGATTGCGTCGACCCCGTAGTCCCATAGCGTCGATCCCAGCATCAGTTGATTTGGCCGAAGAAGTGCGCCAACTGAAGAAAGATGACTACCTGCGCAACAAGCAAGCTCCCGTCAGGAAGGAACATCATCGAGGAGGCGAAGAAGTTATTTAGTTACTCGTTCAAAATTCTACCCGTCATGCGAATGAGGCAAAGTCGAAGAGCAACGAACAATGGTGAAGGGGAAAATCAAACCGAGCAAATCTGCCAAATCAAGGCATCTACAAAAATATGGAAATAAAATAGTAAGAGAATTAGTAAAAAGAGATTCATCAAGGAAAAAGAAAAACAAAAATATAACTTAGGAATAAATTAACTTAATTATATTAATTTAAATTAAATTAATTAAAAATATAATATAATTAATAAATAATTAATTATTTAAATTAATTGATATGTAATTTAAATTAAATTATATCATTTATATTGATTATTTGGTAATAATAATTAAAATTAATAAATATGAATAATAAAATTATAATTTGACAGCTTCTGTAAATGTCATAATAGGAATAACTAAAATTTTTGAATTATTAAAATTAAAATTACTTATAATTTTTTTATTAAAGAAAAGTTTAATTATATTTTTTAACAAAAATTATAATCCATAAAAAATAACATTTATTAAATATTTTAATGAAAACATATCAAATTACCCTCATACTTAACACCATCAACCCTACCATTTGATGGTAGGACAAAAAAATCTCATTTGGAGGAGTTGAGGGACCAATTGTTCCCTCAAAATAGTTGGAGATCATTTTGGTTCCTCACAAAGAGTTAAAGGATCATTTTGATCATTTTCTCTTAAGTGATATGTGAGAATCTATGTCTGTGTAAAACTTCAACAATAACTATGTGCTTTTTTTCACTCTACACGTCCATTTTAAGACCTCAACTCTTTTTCCACCATCATCCTACACCATTCATATTGTTAGCTTGAACAATATACCATAGCATATAACATTCCCAATATTTTTGGATTTCCCCTTACAGAAATGCTAAGTTTTTTCTTTCTTCTAGCAATTTTGTTCACTAATTCTAGTCTTCCAATTCAAATTCAGGAGTTCCATATATTAATTAAGTAAATATAATCCTAATGTTAGACTTAGGTTTTGTTTGGGACGGTTTCTTATTGCTTCGTAAAGCAGCTTCTTAGTATAAAAATTAAAAATTTTGTGCTAAAAAGTTGCTTTAAGAATCAGTAAGAAAGTCGTTCCAAACGAAGCCTTAGTTTACTGTTGCCTATTTTTTACCACATTTTATGGGTTGTCATTTCATGTGATATTCAAACTAGCACTTCTAATAACAAATTGATTAAGATATGATGCGTCACTCACGAGAGATATCCTAGTAACTCTTGTTCTTTTCTCATTTCAATTTTGCTAGTTTTTAGGCTGTAACTTATATAGAATACATTAGCACTGAAAATATTGAATTGGGATTTCATCTTTTTTTTTTTTTTGGAAATTTAATTAGGATTTCATCTGATTGGCTAATTATTAAATTACAACCAACACCCAATTTTTCTCATTCAAACTTGGGATAAGGGTGGGTTTATGACATACCATCAGTATACTTTTTTTCATTTAAAATTTTCTTACTGAAATTGTTTTCTTTCTAAAAACTTTGTAGGCTACTTTGTTTCCACATCATCATCAGCACCTCCAATCATTTGTGACTAGATTTTTGAGGCTTTTTATTTTGCTATAAGTGGGGGGATCCATTTCATGGTTTAAGGAGTACTTAACCACAATTATTTCATCAACTTTTTTTCATCAAGAATTTTATGGAACACGGTGGCTTTTCTTCTTTCTGTGTTTGTGGTTCATATTTAGAATTTACCTTGAAATGATTAAAAAAGAATAGCTTGATAAGTAATTTATTTTAGAAGGAATTATTTTCTAATGGCCGGCAGATTTCTAATGTTGTTATTTCTTAGAGGGTATTGCTGCTTGAAAGAAGTCACAGGATTGAGGTTCTTCTCCCAACCGGCTGTTTGTTGGAAAGCTTCAAAATTTACACCGACCACCATCAGAAGTGGCCCTGTTCCAGCATTGTTCGGAGACGGTGTCAAGGCTAGGAATGATGGCATTTTATCCTATTCCATGGATACAATTAATGGTCAGGATAATGTTTTAACAAAAAAAGGAGCCAGTAATGGCACTGCTATAACTGATGGGTTTTTTGAGTGCCAAGATGAACAAGATTTAGACTGTCCTACTAAAGGGTTTTCCCCGGTCTCAGAGGCTATTAATGATATCCGTCAAGGAAAGGTTGGTCTGTTTTTAGTGCATTGGTCATTAGTGTATACTTTATTGTTTTTATTGTAATGCTAATTTAATATTTTCTTGTAGCTTGTAATTGTGGTTGATGATGAAGATAGAGAAAATGAAGGAGATCTTATAATGGCAGCTTCTAAGGCTACACCAGAAGCTATGGCTTTTATTGTAAGGCATGGGACTGGAATTGTGTGCGTTAGCATGAAAGGAGAAGACCTTGAGAGGCTGCAACTTCCACAAATGGTCATGAACAGAGATAATGAGGAGAAACTTCGTACAGCTTTTACTGTTTCAGTGGTATGCACATCATCCTTTCGCTACTGATTTGAATCTGTATAAGCTATGTTATCAATGATATGATATGTACACCTCAGTGAAATATCCTTCAAAATGTTTTTTATTTCATGCAAAGTTTTTGGTCAATCATGCATTCATGACTTTTGAAACTAATCCATATTACTTTTTTTTTAACTAATCCATATTACTTGAGCTCTACTAGTTGGTAGGATTAGGGTTGTGAATGATCCTATCTCGAGCTAATCTGACTTGGCTCAATATTTGCAAAAAAATGTTTGATTTGATCTTGAGTTGAGCCATACCTAGCTTTATGTTGATTCAATATTATCTAAATTCGAGTAATGTTTTATTCATTCATTGAGTCCTTTAATTTAATTCAAGCTCTTTTCTAGTAAAAAAATTGGCTTAATTTCAATTATTATTATTTCTTTGACGCTAAACTTTTAGCCAAATTACAAATAATCAACCATATCAATGTAGGCACATATGTATCCCTGCACAGATGCTTGTATGCATTAACACAAATATAAATATGTGTATACATAAACTCGGACATATACACATATATTTTGATGTGATTTCAAGTTGGTTTGAGTTAATCCAGATAAAGCTAAATCCAAGTTCGAGCCAAGCCAGACAGGATGGTTAATTTATATTTGAGCCAGGTCAAAGCCTAAAATCAATCCGATTTTCAAGTAATCTTTGATCCAAATTCAATGCCCATTTTATGATTCTTCTTTCTATGCATTTTTTAATTTTTCAAAAGCTTTTTAGAGAGGCACTGCATACGCCATACGCAATTCAATCAAGGCCAAATATAAAATCTGTCAGCAAATATGTATTTAGATAATTCATTTTCTCAAGTTGCTTTCCACTTTTTTTTAGTTTCAGGCATTCTATATTTTACAAAAATGCTTTGTTTCTCTAGATTTCTTTTTTTTAAGTGTTTATGGTTTCTACATGGTTAAATAAATGCATGCAATGACAAGACAACTTACACAGGTCCATATAAAATAATAAAATAATAAAACAACTTTAACTTACAAATCTAGTTATAAAAAAAGTCTGATATATCATAGTCTCGTATGGGATTCAACTTGATTTCATTTTTTGTGAATCTACTATAAAGACAAACTTTATGAAAGTGTGTATATAATGAGCTTTGACGTTGTTTGAGAGGATGGTGATGTTGTAGAAGAGAATAGATGATCTTGATATTGCAGTTGAAGGTGATGCGGAACATCTTAAGACAGGGAGTTCTCTAGTACACTCTACGCATTAGTTACCTTAATTACCTTTTATTTTCTGTTTAGCTCTGCTTAGTGATTTGCTCTCCACTACCTTATTTCCCTTTCCGTTAGTTGTCAGTATCTTTTTACTTTTATTATAGTTGCCATTTTGGCTATAGCAGCAGATATTATATAATTGTAAAAGAAGAGAGCAAGAAGGTAGAAAAGAAATACACAAAGTTCTACAGAGCCAATTCGGTTCTCGTTATTTCCCTGTTTCATTCGCTCACTGTTCCTAGTTTTCTTCCACCGATATCTACATCAGTTTTGGTATCAGAGCCCGGTTGCTTGGGAGGAAATGGCGGAAGGTAGCAGGCGAGGGGCTGGCGACGACGTTCGCAGCCTTGAGGCACTCTGGGATAAACACGACATCCTGAATCGAAGGTTAGACGAAATTTCGACTGATCTTTTTCGGTTGTCTATGGACATGCGCAGGGAATTTCAGGCCATCAGAACGGAGATGGAGGGGAATCGGCGTCTTCGGACACCAGCGCAGGGAAATGCAGTTCAAGGGAGACGTCATCCGGTTCGTATTCAGGAACGACGACGTACGCATCCCAGTTCGGAATTAACCGATTCGGAAGAAGAAGAAATGGAGCCTACCCTGGCGGATTCGCCGTCGGAGTCGGAGGAAGAAATGATACCAGATCAGCATGTAAGACGGCGCCGTGGAAATTATCACGGTCGGACACAAGGCGAATTCCGAGTGAAGCTCGACATTCCTTTTTTTGATGGCCGACTGCATATTGAAGACTACCTAGACTGGGAACGATCGGTAGAAACTTTTTTTGAGTACATGGACATTCCGCAGGAAAAACAGGTGAAGTATGTGGCGTGTCGTTTAAAGGGAGGAGCAAGTGCGTGGTGGTTGCAACTCCTACAAGCTCGCCGACGGGAATGTCGTGGAGCGGTTCGCAGTTGGCCCCGAATGAAGCAGCTCCTGCGTTCTCAGTACTTGCCTACAGACTATGAGCAGATCCTCTATCATAAGTATCAGAGGTGCACCCAAGGCAGTAGATCCGTTAGTGAATATACGGAGGAATTTCATCGCCTTAGTGCTCGGAACAATTTGAATGAAAGTGCTAACCATTTGGTTGCAAGGTACATAGGGGGATTGAAAGAGGCCATACAAGACAAATTAGAAATGAATACAGTTTGGTCTCTGTCCCAGGCCATAAACTTTGCTTTAAAAGCTGAAATTCAATTAACCAGGGCTTATAAACCATATTCAGGACGGAGACAGTCAGGAGAAAATCTCTTGGACAATGTGAGGAACAGTACTTCAGTGGGTAAGGCAGTGACCGCAGGTTCACATAGTTCCCCAGCCGCGGCGGCAGCTGCCCCTAATGTGGCTGGAGCTGCTGTAGATCCGAAGTCGCAGCTGAAGGGCAAGCCACCCATACGCGAAAACCCATACGCCAGGCAAAGTACCATAAAATGTTTTAGGTGTTTTCAAATTGGACACAAATCAAATGAGTGTCCAAGTCGACCGCAATTGCAATTGACCGCAGCCGAACTTGAGGAGTTCGAAGGGGGAGACGAGGACCAGAATGCTGAGATAGAAGAGGAGATTCCTGCAGATTCGGGAGAACCACTAGTTTGTGTTATGGAGAAGATTTTGTTAGCCCCTCGGCAGCAGCAGAATTCTCAAAGGAATGCAGTTTTTAAGACAAGGTGCACTATCAATGGTAAGGTCTGCGATTTACTCATTGATAGCGGGTGTACCGAGAATGTCATTGCTCGGTCTGTTGTCCAAGCACTACAACTCAAGACTACTAAAAGCTCCCATCCTTACAAGATAAGTTGGGTCAAAAAAGGAATGGATATTGCGGTAACAGAAATGTGCCGGGTTACATTTTCAATCGGAAAACATTACATTTGTGACGTACTTTGTGATGTTTTAGATATGGATGTTTGCCATATTATCCTTGGTCGGCCATGGCAATTTGATGTGGGGGCTCTTTATGATGGAAGATCCAACTCATATTCTTTTGATTGGAAGGGTAGACGACTTAAGTTCGTCCCATATCAACCTGATGGTAATGTTTCTCAAAAAAACAAAATGGCTGTTATGCATATGGTCTCGGGATCCTCTCTGTTACAAGCTGGCAAAGAATCTTCAGTAATCCTGGCTCTAGTTCTCAAGGAGCAAAATTCTTTTAATGAATCCACTCACGGAACTGAGGTGCAACGTTTATTGTCCAAGTTTTCGGATATTGCTCCTGAGACGTTACCAGCAACGTTACCACCTCTGCGTGCCCTGCAACATCAGATTGACTTTATTCCGGGAGCAAGTCTGCCAAATTTACCACATTACCGTTTGAGTCCCAGGGAACATGCGACGCTGCAGCAGTTAGTTGATGAATTGTTGGAAAAACAGTTAATTCAACCGAGTTTGAGCCCTTGTGCTGTGCCCGCGTTGCTGGTGCCAAAAAAGGATGGAACTTGGCGAATGTGTATGGATAGCCGAGCCATCAACAAGATCACAATTAAATTCCGTTTTCCCATTCCTCGACTAGACGAACTCTTAGAGAAACTAGCCGGATCAACAGTCTTCTCCAAACTTGACCTTCGCAGTGGCTATCACCAGATTCGTATCCGGCCGGGTGACGAGTGGAAGACGGCTTTCAAGACTCGTCAAGGACTTTATGAATGGAGGGTCATGCCCTTTGGGCTTTGTAATGCTCCATCTACATTCATGAGGCTCATGAATGAGATTTTAAAACCCTTTCTGAACAAATTCTGTGTTGTCTATTTTGACGACATTTTAATTTTCAGTAAATCGTTGATGGATCATTGGCAGCATTTAGAGCAAATCTTTGAGATATTGCAAGAGAATAAGCTCTACCTTAATATATCCAAGTGTGAGTTTGCTACAGAAAACACATATTTCCTTGGATTTATTATATCTGCAGATGGCGTGAGGGTTGATCCGCAGAAGGTTAAAGCTATAACTGATTGGCCTACTCCAAAATCATTTTTTGATGTACGCAGTTTCCACGGGCTCGCAAATTTTTATCGCAGATTTATTCGCGGATTCAGTGTGTTGGCAGCACCTTTGACTGACTGTTTGAAACTCAAGCAATTTCAGTGGACCGAAGTTCAACAGGGAAGTTTTGAAGCTGTAAAATCTGCACTTGCATCGGCCCCAGTATTGGCTTTACCAGATTTTGAACAACCTTTTGTGGTTGAGACGGACGCTTCGGCGACGGGTGTTGGAGCTGTTCTAATGCAGCTCGAGAAACCCATTGAATATTTTAGCGAGAAGCTGTGCCCAGCACGGCAAAAATGGAGCGTGTATGAACAAGAACTTTATGCCGTATTCCGTGCCCTCAAGCAGTGGGAGCATTACCTGTTACATCAAGATTTCGTGCTCCATAGTGATCACAAGGCTCTCCAATACATCAACAACCAGAAATCATTTAATCGCATGCATGCTCGTTGGGTATTATTCTTACAACGGTTCTCTTTTGTTCTTAAGCATAAATCGGGCTCTCAAAATAGAGTGGCAGACGCTTTAAGTCGGCAATCCACATTGTTGTTACAACTGAGCACCGAAATCACGGGCTTGCAATGCCTCAAGGAGCTGTATGCAACTGATAAGGATTTTCAAAAAATTTGGGCGGACTGTGCAGATAAGCCAACCGTGGATCAATTCTCAGTGAGGCATGGCTATTTATTCAAACAACATGCCCTTTGTGTACCAGATTCGTCCTGGAGACAGCAATTAATCCGGGAAATACATTGCGGCGGTTTGGCCGCACACGTGGGCCGAGACAAAACCATCGAACAACTCCAATGTCGCTTCTTTTGGCCGCATTTACGAAGGGATGTTACTAAATTCATTGAGCGTTGCTCAGTGTGCCAATCCTACAAAGGGGGCGGACAGAATACTGGTTTATATATGCCATTGCCTGTACCTGCTACAATATGGGAGGATCTTAGCTTGGATTTCGTTCTCGGATTGCCGCGGACTAAAAGAGGTAATGATTCTATTATGGTTGTTGTAGACCGGTTTTCTAAAATGGCGCATTTTGTTGCTTGCAAAAAAACATTTGACGCTCTCAACATTGCCCGTTTATTTTTCAATGAAATCGTTCGATTACATGGCATCCCACGAAGTTTGACATCCGACCGTGATGTCAAATTTGTTAGCCATTTCTGGCGTGAATTATGGAAACGCCTCCAAACTGATATCAATTTGAGCTCGGCATACCACCCGCAATCTGATGGCCAAACAGAAGTGGTAAACCGAACACTGGGAAATATGTTGAGATGTTTGGTGCAGGAAAATTCAAAGCGCTGGGATGAATTGTTAAGTCAGGCTGAATTTGCTTACAACAGCATGCCGAATAGATCCACTGGACTCTCGCCATTCCACGTGGTATATACGAAGGCACCGAACCATACGGTGGACGTTGCAGTTTTGCCAAAATGCACCAATCGTATTGCAGCTCAAACCGCTGAACATTTTACCAAAATGTTACAGGATGTCCGCCTAAAGCTAATAGCGTCAAATGAACAATATAAGGCTGCCGCCAATCGCCACAGGAGGGAAAGGATCTTCAAACCGGGTGAATTAGTTATGATTCGTCTTCGTAAAGAGAGAGCTCCACCTGGAGTGTATTCCAAGCTCACACGGCGCAAAGTGGGCCCTTTTCCTATTTTAAAGAAGATTAATGACAACGCTTATGTCATTGATCTACCACCAGAGTTTGGCACAGCATCAACTTTTAATGTTACTGATATACATCCATATTTCCCGGCTGATGATGCACCCACTTCAGCTTCTACTTCAGCTTCTACTGAGACAGTAGAATTTTCAGAGGACGGGAAGGACTGATGCGGAACATCTTAAGACAGGGAGTTCTCTAGTACACTCTATGCATTAGTTACCTTAATTACCTTTTATTTTCTGTTTAGCTCTGCTTAGTGATTTGCTCTCCACTACCTTATTTCCCTTTCCGTTAGTTGTCAGTATCTTTTTACTTTTATTATAGTTGCCATTTTGGCTATAGCAGCAGATATTATATAATTGTAAAAGAAGAGAGCAAGAAGGTAGAAAAGAAATACACAAAGTTCTACAGAGCCAATTCGGTTCTCGTTATTTCCCTGTTTCATTCGCTCACTGTTCCTAGTTTTCTTCCACCGATATCTACATCAGAAGGCCAACCCATCTGCTTAAAAATTAAAAGTGAAATTCATCTTGATGGTGCTTTAACTTTCAACACCTCTCGGCCCCCTTCTCTCAACACAAAAATAGAAAATAAATACCAATTACATTGTTTGGGATCAATGAGAACTTCTATCATTTGTTTCCATCAAAGTCTAGTAGAAAACACTAGTTAATGTTCTTGATTTTTATTACTAAGTATGTATGATCAAAACCTAATATATAGTTACAATCACATTTTTATATAAGTGGAGTTGGAACTCTCTCTTTTTTTTTTTTTACTTTCTACTGGCATCTCTTTATGTCAATTTGTGCGTATATGTTTGTCTATTTGTTTATATTTGTATGCATCTATATGGTGGCTCTAGTTGTACGTAGGAAAGTCATTCTCTTATCAACTTTTTTTCCAAAGTATTTTAGCTTTCAAGCTCTTAAAATTATAATCGATACTGTATTAATCTTCAGCTATACAGTAGATGTCACAACCCAACCACTAAGCTTGGAAGAATATCACATAAATCTAGCAGGATGCGGCGAGTAGATAAATTTAGAATGAATTCTAATAAGTATAAATATATTTGCAATAATATTTGTTCGTTAATAAGATTATCGGAGCATCTAAATACAATAACACCTAATTAATCCATCAAAATATAAATAAAATTTAAATATTTTAAGAACTCCTCTTAAGTATTAATTTCTATTGAATCCTCTAAATAAGTTATAATTGTAATCACCTCACAATGATATAGTTCAACTAGAAACTCTAGTTTTATAATATACAACTAATAATATGAAAAATCATAAAATGATTAATGTGAGTTTGCGAGTAACAAACTCAATAGGTGAGACCTATCATGCTATAAATAATAAGGCATAGGGCATAAATATGATCATTAAAAATGACAAAAGTAATAATATATAGTTTATTCAAATATGGTAATTGTTCAATGATATTTACTCTGCATTAGAATGATATGTATATATATATATATATATATATATATATATATGAGTTGTTACACTGGTAGCTAGTTGTGGACCCAAATTTATTAGATTGTGGAGCAAACGCCTCCAAATTTTGAACTAATTAATGGTCCAATATTGCAGCACATTCCCTGTTTTTGTTTATCAAAAGTGGTAAAAAAAGAATTAATGTTTTGTGAATAATGAAAATTTTGGTTAAATAAGATACTGATTTTGTGTTTTAAAATTATTTCCTAAATAATAGTTTCAATTAGTATTTCTGCACCATTCTTCTTTTCATACGCTTGATGTTTGGGCAAACCATAACAAAAATTAATCAAGTTTAGCTGCTATCTTTTTCAGTAGTTCTTATTTTTATCTAACTTAACATTTTGGAGTCTCATGATAAAAAATCAGTGAGTAATACAATTGCCATCTGACTGGCGTTTTTTCTCACTTTCTTTGTCTAATTATATATATACGGGACTTTTATCTAGTTAATTAGCTGAGTGGTATCGCCTTAGATCTCTAAAGTAGTAATTTAACGTTTTAATCCTTGAAAAAAAAAAAAAACTTCTACTGTTTGAACTGCCTTTCAAGTGCCTGCAAACTTCCTACCTCTCGTCTTCCAAAAAGAAAAACTAATTACTGTTTTTCTATAACTACTGTTTGAACTTCTTTTCAAGTGCATTCCAACTTCTAACCTATCCCGTCTAAGTATTGAAATGATTTCAGTGTTTCTATCGTTTTGCTCATCTAAAATTATTGATAGCCATGAAGAGGGTGGCCTTCTATGAGGCCCAGACACCTTTTTACCCGCTTAGTGATAAATATTTCAACATGAGGGTAATTTTACCCTTTTTTTTCCCTTGCTTTTGTAGGATGCAAAAGAGGGCACGACCACGGGTGTTTCTGCCAAAGATAGAGCAACAACCATTTTGGCTCTTGCATCTCCTAACTCCAAGTCTGAAGACTTTAACCGTCCTGGCCATATTTTTCCATTGAAGTATAGGGAGGGTGGCGTGCTTAAAAGAGCTGGGCACACGGAAGCCTCTGTTGATCTTGCCATACTGGCTGGATTGTCACCTGCTGCTGTTTTGTGTGAAATTGTTGATGATGATGGTTCCATGGCACGCTTACCAAAGCTGCGCGAATTTGCTCAAAAGGAGAATTTGAAAATCATCTCAATTGCGGACTTGATTAGGTATTTTATACAGCTAATTTAGATTTTTATCTTTTCCATCAAGAAAATCTTGCTGTCAGTCAGTCATTTCCCTTCTCTAGTTATAGTTGTTATATTCGACTTCTATCCTATCATACGTTTCAATCTTGCGTACTTCTTAAGACTTATGTGCCTTTTTCTAATAAGTATGTATTTTTGCAATTGGATTCTGATAGGAAATACTTGAGCTCGCAAGTAACCCTAAGGTAATACTTGAGTTAGCAAGCAAACCTAATCAAAATTAGTACAAAAACAGAGAGAAATCTGATGTCGCAGCATAAAAACAGCACCAACGCAGCTGGTCTTGCGTTAAAACAGTGGAAAATTGGGAGAAAAATCAAAGCTTTCACTAGTAGATGCAAGAAAACGATAAAAGATACAATGTTCTTCAATTCGAGTGGAAGAACAACTCTCCACAAGTCTCTAGCAAACCCTAGAGCCCAAGCACACGATGAGATCTCCCACTTTCATTCAATTTCAAGATGATCCCCCAATTACCTCCTAAGCTCATAATTAACATCAAAGGACAATTACAAACTTCCTAAACAACTCCTTCATTCAAATTTTCCCTCCTAAGTTTGAATTAATCCAAGCATGGACCACTTAGAGCTTCCGGCCCCCTCCTTTCTTTCTCTGTTTTCCGCCCCCTGTGGGGCCCGTCGAGTGTAGTAGACAATGACCGGTCCAGCCGGCCCCTCCTAGACCGGTGGCATATTAGATTCACGCGCACTTTTGTGTATTTATGGTAGTGTTTTTGTCTGGAGAGATTATTCTGTGCGGATACCGGACACAACTTATCGTCCAGAGGCGAATTAGGTGCAGCCACATCATCCAGTACCAAGCTCGGTACTGAGCTCGGTATCGAGCCGCGATACCGAGTAGATGGTGACGTGGCGCATTTTCATTGGGCTCTCGACCGCGTTAGGTGTCCGCACAGAATAATTTGCCTTTTGTCTGAGGGTAAAGGTAGAAGCAAAATAGAACAATGCAAAGCCTAGATATTTTTTGGGGAAATTTTGGGGCACAACCCTTTTTATTAAAACCAAAAAGAAATACATATCCAAAACAATGGGGAAAAAAACTGAAAAAAAGTTTGAAAAAGAAAACCAAAAAAAAAAAAAACTATCATTCATTCCCAAATAATGAATGACGAAGACTTACAAAAACAGAATGCCAACAAGGCATTAAAGATATCATAACTCAACATGATTACATGACAATAAGCTATTAAGCTGAAACTCATCTCAGCCCTGGTAATACCAAGATAAACCCCGAAACTTCCAATGTAAGCCACAGAACCATGTTCCATTGGTAACCCTTCAAAATTGATTTCCAACCCGCCATTCACATTTGCATCACCTCCAAGTAGAATCCTCCAGCATTGTCCAGATAATCAAAACCTCGCAGAAAGCAAAAAACCGAAGTTAAGTAAGAATTTCTGGAAATTTTTTTTGAAGATCTTCATAAATTTTCCATTTCTTAACTTTCAAATTGATGGCCTTTCTCATAATAAAACTCAGTGTCAAAGGCGAGATATTGCACTACCGTTTTGCCTCATTAATTGAAGTCGCTTGTTTTTATTTCTATAAATTTGTAGTTCAATGAAGGTTTCACCAGACTAAGGACCTTTATATATTTGTATATTTTGCTGTTATAGTCAAGCTTATGAATACCTGAACCTTGAAATGGCTGTCATCTTAGAAAAGACAACAGTTTGTGATGATACATACATGGAAATAACCAATTACGTGATATAGGACTTCTTCGGGTCTATAAGAACTATTACAAAACTCTGCAAAGATTAAGAGTTATGCCATTAAAAAAAAAGGACTTGCAATGTAGTTTACAAAATCTAAATCACCCACATAAATCAATCACTAGATAGTTTAAAGAATAATGTTAGAAGTCACAAATTGAAAAATTCATGCTCATACAATAAAAGGAAAATCAATGTGTAACGAATTTGAAAAAATTTCAATCATGCACAAAACTAATCACTGGGATAGTTCAGAAGGAAAAAAAATGATGGAAATCACCAATTGGAAGATCTAGCTCTCACACTTCTACAAAGAAAATTATTCCCTTAGAAGTTTTTGCCAAAACTTGCAAAGTAGTCAAAGAATCCATATTCAATATCACACAAAAATTGAGGACAAATGGAAAAATGTATGCTACCATTTAATATTATTTTTTTAGTATGCATCGGGGTCCTATTTATAACCCAAATAGTTCTAGATAAGTAACTTCTATAGTCTTCCAAGATTTGGCCATCTGCGATGAGTTCTATTCGAAGACTTTTTTTTCCCTAAACTAGCCCTGTTAGTTAGTTCTATTCGAAGACTTGAACATCAATAAAAACAAAAAGTTTTCGACTTCTTTCCTGCAACAAAACAGGAAATTTTTGTTTCCAAAACTTCATTCAAAGCAATTTCAACAATTTCCGATTTCCAACTTCAGTGCAAAAAGGGTAGGAGCCAAATAGTCGTTTATAGCTACAGTGCCCATAAGGAAGCCAAGGACTTGAACAGAGCTACAATAGCTTAGAAGGAAAGCCATGGACAAACCGTAGCTTGCTGAAATGAATTTCCTTAATGACCAAACCGGCAAACCCATATAAGGAAGAAATCCAGCACATCTTAGTAACCTGATATTTGCTACACTTCAAAGCCTAAAACAGGAACACAGCGCACAGTAAGACCGTCTCCAACAAATAGTATGAAAAACAGAGTTGTGCACGTATTCTTTGCCCTTCTCTTGAGGTTTCTACTAGTTATATAGAAAATAATAGGTAACATACAAAATATTAATTGATTGATTTGCCCAATCAGATTGGTCCAATAAGACAATAATTATATTCCTAATCTTTAAATTTTTACAGTTATAATAATTAAGTTTACTTATTTCTACCTCTAAATGGTAGGTAATAATTGATTCTGTAATAAATGCCTAATTTTATGATTATCATGTTGATACAATAATAATGGACCAAATTAGCAACGGCTAATGGTTAATAACATTGTTCCAAAATCAAGATTGTGGCGAAATAATTGAATCAGAAAAGCAGAGTAAATCGGCCAGGTCCTGAATAAGAATCCGGAAACAACTGAATTATGGAATCTAAGAAATGAACTGAAATGACTAGTAGTAGTAAATCAAATCTCAAATTATCATATATGTAGCTTATCTTGATTTGCTGGTTGGCTATCAATCAAAAGGTCTAAGATTTGAATCTTGCCTATGTGTTGTGTGTGTGAATTTGTCTTAATTGGTCTAAATGTCCAAAAAAAAATAAAATCTTATGAGATAATCAAAACATTAGGTAGCACATCATGCTTTCATAGAATTCAACATCATATGCATGCTCTAAACTAAAATGGACTAGGAAGCAAAAAATTAAAACATAAAAAAACTAAAACAATATCAATTCATATGATTTGTGTTCCTAATGAATAATGATTTTCAGATTTGCATCTGATACGCATGCACTTTTATCTGAATTATCATATATTTTCAGTTTTACCATGAGCTTCAGTGTTCTATAACTAATATATTATGATTGAAAAGTGTTTTTCTCTTATATAATCTTCTTGTCTATGACTTAACGTCATTAACAGAAAGTTGAGTGCTTACACAAGCTTATATGACAGGTATAGGAGGAAGAGAGATAAATTGGTTGAGCGTGCTTCTGTTGCCCGCTTACCTTTATCATGGGGTACATTCCAGGCCTATTGCTATAGGTCTTTGGTGGATGGGATAGAGCATATTGCCATGGTCAAAGTGAGTGGCTTTGAAATACATTGTCAATCAATATTGCATTTAACCGTATCAAACTTCTATCATAGTTTGGAACACAATCATCATGTGGAGAGATTATTCTATGCCGACACCGGACACAACTTACCGTCCAGAGGCGAATCAGGTGCAGCCACATCATCCAGTACCGAGTTGCGGTACCGAGTAGGGGTGAAGTGTCGCATTTTCATTGGACTCTGGACAGCGTTCGGTGTCCGCACATAATAATTCATCCATCATGTGTCCTGATACTTCAGCTGATTTTTTAAAGGTTTTTTAAATTTACTTTATAATCTAAAAACTTTCAATAGGGTGATATCGGTGATGGACAAGACATATTGGTGAGGGTGCATTCTGAGTGTCTCACTGGCGACATATTTGGATCGGCCAGATGTGATTGTGGTTCCCAGTTAGAAATGGCCATGAAGCAGATTGAAAAAGCTGGCAGGGGTGTGCTGGTTTACCTTCGTGGGCATGAGGGAAGGGGCATTGGCTTAGGCCATAAGCTCCGTGCTTATAACTTGCAGGATAATGGGCGTGATACAGTGGAAGCCAACGAGGAATTAGGTTTGCCAGTTGATTCGCGGGAATATGGCATTGGTGCACAGGTCAGTTAGTATTATTTAAATATTATTATTATCTATAAATGTTGTTTTTGATTATTAGCCCTTAAATATTGTGTTTGATTTACTTTAAGATAGCTTGAACTAAGATATTGTCTAACAATTTAAATTTTTGTTATTTAATGATGAAGATGTCATTAGATTGAGTGGTTAATTACGTAGCATTACATGATGAATGTCAGCAAACCAAACAATTGCCAAAACTAATCTGGTTGGGTCAACATGAAAATTGTTGTGTGGGGTCATAGTTCAGTAGATTTTCTCCTCCATGGAAGCAGCACTAACACCTCCTGTAACACCCCATAGTACCCCTTTAACGGTACAAGGAGTATTACTAACATTTTCATACCTATTCATACTTCATATTTTTCCTTGATCATATGAATCTGATTTACTACTGCATGATCATAGTACCCCTTAACGATACAAGGAGTGTTACACCTCCTGTCTACTACGTGTCTATGCATAGTTAGGGTCGAGGAAAATTTTCTTGCCAACCTGTATAACCAGAAGCTTCTTTGCATTGGTGCATGGAGACATGTTTTGAAATGTCAGGAATGTCTTTCTTAGGCTTCATTTGGAATTCTTTTTTGTGCTTTCTAGTATAAAAAATTTAATTTTTGTACTAGGCAAGAATACCTAGATTCTTAGTTCTTGCCACCGATGATAGTAGATTTTAATGATTTTTTGGTAATAAACTGCCAATTTAATAATTTTGTTTGCAGATACTACAAGATCTTGGTGTCCGCACAATGAGGTTGATGACCAATAACCCTGCCAAGTACAGCGGCTTGAAAGGTTATGGCTTGAGCATTAGTGAGAAGGTTACTCTGCCAACCCTTATTACAAAAGAGAACAAAAGGTACTTGGAGACTAAGCGGATAAAGATGGGGCATGTCTATGGATCTGAATTCAATGGCCAATTGAGTGATTTGATCAGTGATGTGGAAGACGTTAGCAATCAGCAGCAAACCTCTTGATGCCAATAACTGGAATCATATTGTAATTTCTGTTTAGTATTTGGAGTCAGCTGTGCGCTATAGAATGATTTTATGTTCTCTTTTTGGCCTTAGGGAATGCGCCTCAGTGTGTGTGCTTATTCTTTGAACTTCTGAGAGCAGCAAACATTTATTCAACATAGCTTGTGATTTTCACCTTTTTGTCTGTTTATTTGTTGGTTTTTGTGGTAGATTCAATGATCTGAATTATAGAATTTGCATTCAGCTTGAACTTGAAAACTCCTGATTAATAATTTGTTTGTCATTTTAAAAGCTTCAAAATAAGATAACCAGTTATATGCCAAAATTTTCAATAGGCCTATGCTAATCCGCATTTATCTCATTATGAAATATGACTTTAATAGCAATATTAGTTGAGAATTGAGAATCTAAGCAATATAAAATCTTATCAATGCCTATATTAATAGCAATGTTTGAATTGAAATATGACAATCATGAAAGGAAGTGGCAGAAACCATTAGCCATTCTCCATGATAGAGTTAAGGGGAGCAATTTTTAGCCAAATTCAAAAGTATCATAAAAATGGCACCCATTATTTCAATAAGAGAATTTCTAGCTACTAGATCATTGAAAAGGGAAATGTTATTTCCATCCCTAACATTAAAAGAAAATAATATTCTCATCTTTGTAGTACTAAGGGATAATTCTTTGTAGAAAGGGGAAACCATCATAAGAATCCTATCTCTAAGAGACCCATAAGTCCCTACGACTCCAAATGATCTTCATTTTACTAACAAAAAATTATTAAGAATGCCTTTTGGCAAAAGCCTTAAAAGATCGGTGGCTCTATTAACACAATCAAAAGCTTTTTTTATATCTGATTTAGAATAAAATAATTTTTTGATAGAGAAGAAATTAAAGTTCTATTAAAAATCGTATGCAAGAGTAATATTATCAACAATATAATTGTCCTTGATAAAAGTAACTTGAGCTTGAGGGATAATTAAATGAATGATCACCATAAACATATTAGCTATTTTTTTTGAAATAATCATATAAAAATTGTTATATAGGAAGATATGATGGTTGTCATTTAAAGCAATAGAAATCAGCTTCGAAAAAGAAGTAAACTAAGGCTTCGTTTGGGACGACTTTCTTACTGCTTTTTAAAGCAATTTTTTAGTATAAAAATTTCAATTTTTAAACTAGAATGATGTTTTAAAAAGCAATAAAAAAGCCATCCCAAACGAAGCCTAAGAAAATAAGTGAGTTGCTTTGAGTAATTGAGTTCCCCACATATTCCAACAATGAAGAAGGAATTCCAACATGAAGCCATTGGCCCAAGTAATTTGTCCTTAATAAATGCTCTTTAGAACTACAATAGTAGTTTTTTCATCTAACACAAGTTCAATCAAAGAGTTAGCTATACAAGGTGGAAAAATAATGCCCATGGAAAGACTATTTGGAATGGAAGAATGGGCATCTCTCTTGTTATAAGGATGAGGGAAATTGTATATAAATGTATTAGCATTATTAGTTTGAGAAGAGATGATCAATTCATAAAGAGAAAGCTCTGATTAATTTAGCTATTTTTTTCTTTCCCTTGATGGAGAATTGAAGGTCTTCCTCCCTTTTTTAGGAGAGATTATTACGTGTGGAGTTCGGACGTAGAGAACCGTTCAGTTTCTTGATTATGAACAGTAAAAATATAATTACTGTTCACTACTGCACTCTTACTGTAAAACGGAACAGTTCTATATTTCCCCATTCCGCACATAATAATCTCTCTCTGTTTATTTTGAGAGCCAAACAGTCGCAGCACACTCATGTTTACTTTAAGGTTTCATTTGGGACGATTTTTTTATTGCTTACTAATACAGAATTTTAGTAGAAATTAAATCTCTGTTTAAAAAAAACAATAAAAAATTGTCCTAAACCAATCATAAATCCTTAGTTTTATGAAATCCTATTTAAAGTAAATCCTAGCCCTTGGTAAATTCAGATTTACAATGCAATAGAAAATTGGAGGCGTCCGGATTGGCCTCTCGCTCACTGCAGGAGGATGTTAAGGGTTTAGGAGCGAAAAGGAAGTTGGACGGAGTGACGGTATTCTTCTCTGTAAATCTGTAATCGTCTGTCTATTTTTATAATTCCTCCTCTTTGGTATGTCTATGCTCTTCCTAGAGCCTTAGCCTTAGGACTGTCTACTGTTTGCTTTCCTCGTCGCCATTTCTTCTTCGGATTCGCGTGCTTTGCGTGAGGTATAGTTTTGAAAGTGACAAGTGACACTAAAGAACCTTCTTCGCCTTCTTCGACGACTTTGTTCCCGTCGGATCGGAAGTCACGACGGGCTGTAACGATCTTTCTCCCTTTCGCGCGCTTCTTGGACTAAATCGCGTAAATCCGCCGACCTGCCGGACTTACAAAATCCGAGATTTAAGGCTAAACGGAGAAGGAACCGGATTTAAGTTTCTGTATGATTTTTAAAGTTCCCATTTTTTGCTGTTTGGCAGGATTTAGGCTAAATCCTGCTTAAATCCTTCATCCAAGCGGCGCCTTGAGATGAGAAACGTGAGAAAAAAGTGGGACTGTGATCAAATATGCTGAGGATCATCCAGGCCCAGTTTATTGTCCCTCTAGTGGACATTTAGATAAGAATGACTAAGGAAGAATAAATAAGCTTGAAAAAGATACATTTTCTCCGGATGTTTATTGCAACATTCTTGCTGACCTTTTGCAAGTCAAAGCCTTGTTTGCCATTAAAACTCGCTTCCAGGCTCTGTAAGTTAAACTCTCTATCTATTGAATTTTCAATGAGAGATGTTGCTCTCCTCCTTTTTTGGGTTTTAAGTTTTCCATTTTATTTTCAGATATTGCATTGCGATTTATTCTCGTAATTGTGTTACATAGCCTTTTCTTTCATGCAGGTTTAACTTAATCCCTTATTATTATTATTATTATTATTATTATTATTTTCACTCAAACTTTTGTTAAGTTCAGAAAAATTTCCCCAAATTTAAGGTTTTTGTGTTGCATCTATATACCCTAACTTTGTTAGTAAATAGTAACTGTCTCATCCAAGCAGAAAAAGAAATCACATTCACCGGAAAACCAAAATCACATTTACCGGAATTTAGACAGTTTTACTTTGTTTTGTTAAAATAAGGTCATATGTTTGGTTTTTTAGCTTTTTCATCAAAGTTTTATCCCTTCCAAGTGTGTGGCATTAGTTTTTTTTTTTCTTTACCAATAATTCTGAGTGAATACCATTAATTAATAGATTTTCACTCTTAATAATTATATAATTGCAGATCATTTTTGTTTTAAACTCATGCTTATGTTACAATATATTGTACAAACACAAGAAGTGTTGAAGCTTGAAGCATCCCTCCATTTCCTTTTATAATGTAGTTTCCTATGGCCTTCTCCAGTCGAACACCAAACATGTGTATGGCGTCGTTCGATCGATCCAGCCCAACGTCAAATCTTCCACTATTTGCTTGCGGGTGAACAGTGCGACTCCAATATTGGCGTCGCACTGTTCACCCGCTATATTTTTTTTATTCAAAAAATTGGTTGTTAATTTTAAAATTTTAAGTGTAGAATTTTGTTATTAATATTTAAGAAATAATAATTTAAAAACACATTATTTTTTAGAAATTAAAATATTTTTACATAATCAAATATAAATATATGATTAAAAAATATAAAATAAAGTATGAGAAAGAATATACTAGGAATATTCTCTTTTTGATGTTAGAAAATTGAGCTCGATTGGAGACAAATTACTGCATATTGACGTATTACTATATTTTGGAGTAAAAATGTGTTTTTTTTCGTTTGGAGATGCCTTAAGCCTGATTTATTACACATGTTTTATGGCGTTTTTTCTACTATACACTAACATTTAAAGTTTGATTGATATACAATTGTATGCTTTTAAGCAGGCAATAATCGACTCATTAGTAAGTATTGCCAGCATAATAACAAGGTATGTCTTTTTTCCTGATTGTTTTTACTCCTTTTTTTTTAATATTGTTATGTAGCAGTTTTATGGAGGTCCAACATTGGTTGCAGGATTGTAATTTCCAAGGATTTATTTGCCAAAAATTTTGTACTGATGCTATTGCTAGTTCATCAAGTCTGTACTGTGGGGACAATGCTAGTTCTGGTTCCCAGGATAGGAGCATTTCCCAGCCTCACTCAGAAATTATTGATACCGATGATCATTCAAATGCGAAAGTGCCAGTCATGATCCAGAATATCTTCAAATCACTTGAAAATCCTCATGATATAGAGTTAGCAATCAATAAATGCAAGCTTACAATAACTGAGGATTTGGTTGTACAGGTCCTTCTGAGGCACAACTCTGATTGGAAGTCTGCCTTATTCTTTTTTAATTGGGCATCTAGACAAGAAGGTTATTTTCATGGATGGAGGTCCTATAATGTAATACTTGATATTCTTGGACGAATGAAACAGCTAAAAGTAATGCAACAAGTTTTTGATGAAGTACCAAAGGAGAGAGCAGCTAGAGTGATTACTGAGAGAACATTTGCAATTCTAATGAACAGATATGCAGCAGCTCATAAAGTAGAATCAGCCATTGAAGTGTTTTACAAGAGGAAAGATTATGGCTTTGAAGGTCACTTGATTGCTTTTCAAACACTTCTGATGTGCCTTTGCAGGTACAAGCATGTTGAAGAGGCCGAAGCCCTCTTTCTCAAAAAGCAAGATGAGTTTCCTCCTGTTATAAAAAGCCAGAACATAATACTTAATGGTTGGTGTGTTTTGGGAAATTCACGTGAAGCTAAAAGGTTTTGGAACGACATAATATCTTCGAAGTGCAAACCTGATCTGTTCACATATGGCACCTTCATCAATTCTTTGACTAAGTCTGGAAAGCTTGGCACAGCGATGAAGCTGTTTGCTGCTATGCGAAAAAAAGGTTGCAATCCAGATGTGACAATTTGCAATTGCATCATTGATGCTCTCTGTTTCAAAAAGAAGATCCCAGAAGCTCTTGGAATATTTAATGAGATGAATGAACCGGGGTGCTTTCCTGATGTGGCTACCTATAACTCTCTCATAAAGCACCTCTGCAAGATTAGAAGAATGGAGAAAGTATTTGAGCTTTTGGATGAGATGGAGAGAAGGGGATGTCTTCCAAATGCTCGAACGTATTCCTATATTCTGAAAACAACAAGGAAACCAGAAGAGGTTACTGAGTTACTGCATGCAATGGAAAGAAAAGGCTGCAAAATGAATGGAGACACCTATAATTTAGTACTAAACCTTTATGTTCAATGGAATTACCAGGAAGGTATCCATTCTATTTGGGCTGAGATGGAAAAAAAGGGCTTGGGTCCTGATCAACGGTCTTACACCATAATGGTTCATGGATTATACAGCAAGGGTAAGTTAGATCAGGCTCTTCAGTACTTCAGCGAAATGAGCTTGAAAGGAATGAGCGTAGAGCCCCGAACAAGGTTGCTAGTAGAGGCAATCCACTTGAAAGAAGGAAAGCTTGCTAAGCTCGACATATCACCTTGATCTTCTTTTGCTGCAGAAGGACAGGACATTCATGATTAAGTTCTTTACAAGTGATATGAATGAAGGTATATTGCTTTAGGCCGTCACTAGATATTAAATTTTCCCCTTTTTCTTTTGCATTACCTTATATCCTTTTCTTAGATTATACATATTAACCTATAAGATTAGATTTATCCTACTGTCTGAACTTGTTTTTGCACCTCAATAATTACACATGCCTCTTTAATTATCCAATTTCCAACTCTATTCTGTTTTATTTTACGTGCTGAAAATTTTGAAAGGTTTTTTTGAAACTAGTCTTTTGAATGCGTCTCTTTTTGTGGACACTAAATGTTGAAAACTTGAATACTGAAAACTTGCCATGTTAATCCAATGAAATTCTAGAAGGAACACTTAACCTTTTCCTATGTTTGCAAGGAAGATATAATATATTGGGAGATTTTAAAAGTTTTTTAAGTATTGTATGATGAAACTTGGTAGATTTTCATGTGATGGATTGAACATTATAAGCAAAATTTACATTCTTTTTCGTTCAAAGAATCTTACCGGTTGTTGCCGCCCGCCATCTTGTGGTCAGTTCTTGTCCTCCATTGTATGCCGCTACAATAACCATTCATCGCCATCATCAACTATTGATCACCACCGTCATCCATCGCTGCCTTCATAAATTTAAAATGTCAAAATAAATAAGTAATAATAATAATACATTTGATTTGTATTCAATCAAATAATTATTGATTTAAAATACATGAATTTTAATAACTCTTTCTAAATTATGTACTTTTTAAAAATATCTAATCAAATAGCCCTTTAGAGGGCTATGGAATTACTAAAAGACAAGTTATGGAACTAACTTGTGGCAATATCATCCTACCACTGTCCCTAAAACAGGGGGACCTAAGCAGAGCTCATGTTAAAATTGTCGGGCCAATTCTTAAGCTCGTCCTATTGGGCCTGATTGCATTTGCATTGTCCGACAAATTTAGACAAAAGCATCTCCATTGGGCTCAATAACTTACGAACATAACTCCCGTTAAACGGGCCAACGTAGTCGAGCCCAACAGCAACTTGCTTGGGCTTAAAACCGTTAAAGTGGCCTCTGTGCTTCACCAACTCGGATGAAAAAAAGACCAAAACATGATTATTGTTTTTATACTTAGAATATTCTCAGTAATTTCTTTGAAAGAAGCAGATAAATATGTTTTTTTATTTCTTATTTCACAGCGAATTTGGAAGTAGCTAAGGTAGCCGGCAATTGGTCATATTGCTCACGTCTAAGGGGCCATCCTTGCCTTTCTTTTCTCAGCCTCTTCTTCTCCAATGCCCTAAAGTCTAAAGTAGTACCAGCAAAAAAGATCAATGCTCTCTTTTTTTTTTTTCTTTTTTTTTTCTTTTGACCACCTAAAACTTTTGACTTTTACAAAAGAACCATGGCCCATGGGAGGGGTTGAGATTCCTTATCAAGCACATATAAACTTCGGCTTTCTTCCGCTGCTTTTATTCATTTTTCATGAAAGATTGGCTCAGCACTGAGCCGTTGTTAATGCTTTCTGCACTCAAACTGACCTTCATCATTCAATCCGCCGGTGCGCTTGACCCATTATCTCAAAAGAAGTTTAAAGCTACAGATATATATGGTGTGGGCCCTTAGATTTTTTTTTTGAATGGGGTATCCATCCGGTGCCACCCCCGAAGGGCGCTTAGTGGCATGATTAACCCTCGGCTGACCTAGAAGAGGCATTCACCCCAGAAATCTCCTACCCGCACTTTATTAGGCCCCACTTGAGGGGCGCTGCCGCTAGAGAGGAATCGAGCACGGGTTGAGACGTTTCCAACCATACTCACCCACCAACCAAGCTAAGCATCGATGGATTAGATTTTATTTGATAATGTTTTAGTTTTTATTTTATTTGTATATATAATTTACGACTGAGTCAATCCTTATTTGGAAATCAATAATGAGCATTTTGCGTAGTATGAAACCTAGAATTAACAATAACCATTATATTTTAAGTCTTCATTAAATCTCATCATGTAATTTACTCTTTTTTTTTCTTAATATAGCATTTGTAGTACTTAGCCTCAACCTTGTTTCTAAGGACAAGTAGAGTATATTTGAAACACACACTAGTGATGTATTTTTTGACAATATAATGAAATCTTGTAGTCTATCTTTTATTATCATCTTATTTGTTAGTCATTCTTATGAGTAGGATCTTGGTGTTGCCTATGGACGAATTTGAATCCAATTGTTATATCATCTTATTAAAATTTGATTTGTCATAAATATAATATCATGATAATTCTATCGTTGGGCGCCTCAAGATTTGTGGAGATAGACAAAGTCAGCTTAAAATTTTAACTTTTTATGAAGATCCAACATTTATCATCAGTTGAAATAGTTTCACAATATTTATAATCAATTACAAATGATATTGTTTCTCATATTTGGGGAAGATGTCTATACAATTTAATTGACATGAATGTTAGAATTAATTTTATGGCAAAAGCTGGAAGAGTCTTGTGGCATGAGAGCTTTTTGTAAAAGATCATTTGTTATGTATTTGATTGTTCTTCTATGAGGAGAGGAGATCAACAACCACAAACTAGAGATTGGAGACTAAAGACCTAGAAGCATATTATAAATCTTAGTATTAAAATTGGGTCATAGTTGGTATTGATGGCATGTATTGACCTTATATTGGTGTGCATTGATCCTATTGGTAATGATGGGCGACAACAACGATTAAGAGATTATAGTGGGGTTACATTGATTAGTATATTATAGTGGGTCAACAATGGTTGGGAGATCATAATTATGCAATGGTATCATAGTACCTCGAGTAATAGTGGTTGCATTACTAAAGCTAGGTGTTGATGGTCTGGAGATTATAATCAGGCAAAAATGATTTGAGGATTATAGTTATGCAACAAAGAACAAATAGTTGTAGTCAGGCGACAATGGTTAAATAATTGAAGTCAAACTACAGTGTTTGAGAGATCATAAGAGGAATCGAACTACGATGATGGTGTTTGAGGACCATATTAGTGTGACGATGACAATGGTTGAGAACCAGAGTTTGGTAATGGTGGTTGATGGACCCTAATCAGGTGGTGATGATTGGACTTTATCCGGATGATGTTAGCGAGAGGATTATAGTTGTGTGATGGTGATTATTATAACTCAAAAAAAAATTAAATATAACAATAAAAAAATTTTTCGGGAATCATTATAAGTCCAAATCACAAACCGTCTTTCTATAACATATATATTTTTGTGTTTAAGTTTCATTTATTTCATAATTTTTGGTCATTGGTGAAATTCCTTACTACAGTCTCCCCGACTATTGTCGCCAGTCGACTACGATCCTTTCGACATCATTCGTACGACTATGGTCCCTCCGATTGACCTCCATCGCCCGACTATGATTCTACCAACTAAATAAACATACGAACATTCTATTGATAATAGCTCTTATATCATTGATTTTTTATACCAGAACTATATAATGCGCTATATATTTTCTATATTGAGCTTACACATTCCCTGGTGAAGGGCATCATTAGTAATTAATAACAAATTAGTGGATTCATTTCAACCGGGCCAACCCAGTGGTTTTTGCCCTTTTAGAGTTTTTTACGTAAAAATCTTAGTGTCACTTATGACTTGCACCTCTCTCGCTTTATTTATATGCATGTTGGATCTTGGTTCAAAGTTAGGACGCTGAGCTATTTATGTCTCTACTATTGTGAATGTACCAAGCCACAAGAAGTTTGAATATACATTTGCTAAAATCAAAGTTCAATAGTGTCTAACTTAATTCCAAAAGTTTTTAATTCAAATATGCATTGAGGTTCCTACTTGATTGAAGCTGGGTTTTGTGCGATTGTCTTAATACTTTTTTAAACAATTTTTTAATATAAAATTTTCTTGAGGTAATACATTTTTATACTAAAAAACTACTATAAGAAAGCGCCCCCCCCCCCCCCCCCGTATATTATAGTCAATCAACAATGGTTGGGAGATCATAATTAAGCAATGGTATCATTGTATCTCGAGTAATAGTGGTTGAATTACTAAAGCCAGGTGTTGATGGTATGGAGATTATAATCGGGCAAAAATGATTTGAGGATTATAGTTAGGCAACAGAGAACAAATAGTTGTAGTCGGGCGACAATGGTTAAATAATTAAAGTCAAACTACAGTGTTTGAGAGATCATAGAAGGAATCGAAGTACGGTGATGGTGGTCGAGGACCATATTAGTGTGACGATGACAATGGTTGAGAACCAGAGTTCGGTAATGGTGGTTGATGGACCCTAATCAGGTGGCGATGATTGGACTTTAGCCGGATGATGTTAGCGAGAGGGTTCTAGTTGTGTGATGGTGGTTATTATAACTCAAAAAAATAATTTTTACTTATAACAATAAAAAATTATTTCGGGAGTCATTATAAGTTCAAATCACAAACCTTCTTGCTATAACATATATATTTTTGTGTTTAAGTTCCACTTTTTTCATAATTTTTTGTCATTTGTGAAATTCCTTACTACAGTCCTCCCGACCATTGTCGCCCGTCGACTACGATCCTTTCGACATCATTCGTACGAATATGGTCCCTCTGATTGACCTCCATCGCCCGACTACGATTCTACCAACCAAACAAACAGACGAACATTCTATTGATAATAGCTCTTATATCATTGAATTTTTTATACCAGAACTAAATAATGCGCTATATATTTTCTATATTGAGCTAACACATTCCCTGATGAAGGGCATCATTAGTAATTAATAAAAAATTAGTGGATTCATTTCAACCGGGCCAACCCAGTGGCTTTTGCCCTTTTTAGAGTTTTTTACGTAAAAATCTTAGTGTCACACTGTCACTTATGACTTGCACCTCTCTCGCTTTATTTATATGCATGTTGGATCTTGGTTCAAAGTTAGGACGCTGAGCTATTTATGTCTCTACTATTGTGAATGTACCAAGCCGCAAGAAGTCTGAATATACATTTGCTAAAATCAAAGTTCAATAGTGTCTAACTTAATTCCAAAAGTTTTTAATTCAAATATGCATTGAGGTTCCTACTTGATTGAAGCTGGGTTTTGTGCGACTGTCTTAATACTTTTTTAAACAATTTTTTAGTATAAAATTTTCTTGAGATAATACATTTTTATACTAAAAAATTACTTTAAAAAGCTATAAGAAAGCCCCGTACAACGCTAAGACGTTAAACT